CTGCTCTGACTTCAGCAGGGACAGAAGCTTCACACGGGCAGAACCCACAGCATGGCAGTTTGTTGGCATCGTCAGTACAGCTCTCAGATCATGGAAACCCTGTCAGGCCAACAGGAGCATCAGGGAGTAGTGGGGAAAGGGGCCCCTCTGAGGCACAGAGCGCTCTTATTAGTGGCCATGCTGGAGTTCAACCTCCACATTACGAAGGCATCGATGATGTGGATCCTTCGCTGGACTCTTCTCTCTGCCAGGCATTTACATTTGTCGTGACATTTAACATTTAAATGGCCCTATGAACAGGTACTACTGTCATCCCCATTTCTGCACCAAAAATGACTCTGAAGTTTAGTAACTTTTGTATAACACAAGCAGCAGATACTGAGCTAGGGTTCAAAATTATATCTGACTCCAGGATCTTCAAGCCTAACTACTGCTCTCTCCTGTTGCACAGGCTTCTCTCCTTTCCCCATTCAGCTTTCCACCACACTCTCCCACAAAGATCTGTCACCACTCATGGGGGACTTGTGTCTGCTCTGTCCTCGGAAGCTCAGGAAAAAGTGACTTGGGTCCAACAAGAACCCGATTCCTGGCCCCGTCCTTTATGCTCCCAAGGTTCCCTTTCCTCACCACTCCCTGGGGATGGACATACATACATACATACATACATACATACACACGCACATACACTCTCCACAACCTCCTGAGGAGCTAAACCAGCCTCACCAGCAACCCCGCAAATCTTCCACCTCTATCCCAGCATTTTCAGGGTACTCTGACTGACTCCCTGCCTACCAAAACCCAAACCAAGACCACCGAAAACAGCCTGTCACCTCTTTAACAGAACTCCAGAGCTAAGGAAGACTTCCAACAGCTAGTAGCCAGTTTTTACAGAGGGGGAAATGAGGGTCTAGTCGCTGGCCCAAGTTCACACAGCATGAGAGGACTGAACCTCGGCCACAGGGCTTGTCCCTTGAGTTCAGAGTTGGGCAGGACTGAGAAGGGCTACACTACTGGGAGGGGAGAGGTGTGTGTGGATGGGGCCAGAGACCCCCCTAGAAAGAGAAGGACTAGCTTCTAGAACCGGGGAAGAGAGCTGCTGGCGCTGCAGGCAGGGGCTGGGTGGGGGATGGGGTGCTGCTGAAAGAGCAGTTCTCGTTTTATAGACGGGTTACCTCAGTGCCAGTGGAGTCGTGCCAGTCACTGGATCCCGCTGCTGTTACTGGCTATGTGGGGGCAGGACCCAGCTTTCCTAAATCTCCAGCGTCCTTCCCACCCCTGCCCCTTGACTTGCTCTTAAGGATCTGGAGACACAGAGTAGACGGGGATGGCCCAGTGAGTCCCTGGCTGCATCTCTCCTATGTCTACGCCCAGGGCATTCAGTGCCTACCATGGGTCAGTTTACCCGAGGACCCAAGGCCAGACCTTTGGCTTTTACCAAATCTGTGTCTAAAAGTCACAGAGCTTGGCCTACAGCCTTTGCCTAGCAGGCTGCAGTCCCTTGCAGGGATGGAAAGGAGGACGTAATAGGGCCCCCCTCCATGTGCTTTGTTCTTCAGCTAGATATGCCCCCAGGAACTCAGATCCCTGCCCAAGGGAGAGGTCCTATCCTGTTGCCCCAGGCATTAGGCAGGGCCTAAGCATCCCCTGGAATATGAATATGTGTGTATTTGCAGGGATGGGGCTGATGGTGGTTAGGGGGTCACTCAGCAGTGAGGCCCATGGTCCTTCAAGCCAGAGTCAAGCTGGGACCTCAAGGGAAGAGAATGGGAATAAGACAGTGGAAGTTTTGTCCCACCAACAGACCCCAAGCAGCCTGGCCATGCCAGGCTGACTACCCCTTCCAAAATAAACACAGCCCTTGGTTATGTGGGCACTGACCATTTTTCAGAGATGACATCAATTCTGAATGTTTTTATGTTTCCTGCCTGCTTCAGCCAGGAGAGTACAGTCCCATAGCACAGGAGTCTGGCGTGGTCGACATCAGCACCAGGGCAAACCGCACACCAGCAGCTCAAGACACTCACAGCAGGCCCACCCAAAGGAGAGACACTACCCTGCCGGGTACCCCAGGACAGAAGCAAGAGGAGAGAAGCTACAAGCTCCCTGGTTCCCAAACACCCTGAGCCTTTGCTTGATTTGCTCTGTTCCTATGCTTGCCTGCTCCGCACCATCTAGCAAACACCTTGGTGTCCTTCAATTACCATGTCTACCATTGCCCCTTTTGTAAAGCCAGGCTGACAGTGGGCTACGCACCCTCCCTCTAGAGTCTGATGCTCCATAGAGTTTAGAACACCCTTCCTGGGCCTCCCTGGTGGCACAAGGGGTTAAGCACCACACTACGAAGCAATCCACAGCCTCTGAAGCACAAGTTTCATCCCTGGCCAGCCAGGGAGCAACCCACATGGTGCAGCAGACCTCTCCTGTCTCGCCCACTGCTCCCCTCAGCAGTGTATTTCAGTCAGTCTGCCTGTTCTATTTCCCACTCTGTCTCTAGTGAATCCCCTCACCCTCCCCCCACATCTCTGGCCTGTACCCCAGCTCTTGTATGCATAAATAAATAAATCTTTAAAAAAGAAAATTGTTGGGCCTCCCCTGGTGGCACAGCGGTTGAACACTGGGTTGCGAAGCTGCCTGCAGTCTCTGCAGCCTCTGCAGCGTCGGTTCCATCCCCAGCCGCCGGCAAGGGTCCCACATGGCGCACAGACCTCTCCTGTCTCACCCGGTGCTCCCCTCAGCACTGTATTTCTCTGGCTCTGGTTAATTCTCTCACCCTCCCACACTTCTGACTGTACCCAGTGCTTGTATGAATAAATAAATAAATATTTTTTAAAAATTAAATTGTGCTGAAGCAATAGTAAGTGTCCACAAATAAGAAAAAAAATAAAAGAAAAAAAAAGAAAAAGAAAAGTGTTAGTGGAGGAAAGGATGGATGGCAGACTGGGAGAAAATCTGGTGGAGGAGCTAGTCCTACTCAGTATTCCTCTTAATTGCAAAGTGATCCAGTCCAAAAGCAATTTCTGACCCATGAATATGGCTCAGGAGTTTCAGAGTTTGGAAAAAAGAGCCCTAGATCACTCACCATAGGCTTTGCCTGTGGAAACCCAAGGGGGCAGTCATAGCCCAGACCTCCCTCAGCAAAGCTCTGGACAACACCCAGAGGCAAGGCCAGGAGGAACTCAGGCTGGAAATGGTGGAGGAGCTCAAATGGGGCCAGTGGCAATACCAACCTCAGAGCAGGGCCTGAATGGTGGTCAGGTCCAGAAGGGACCCAATTTCTGTCCCACAGAGTTAAACCTGCCCTTGTTGTGGGCCTGGAAATTCATGAACCATCCTCCCACCCCTTCCCCAGGCTGAGGATACTTCTGCTTCAGGGGGTATTGGGAGGATTAAATGAATCAATATGTGAAAACACCTGGACAGGGAAACACCCAATAAATGTTAGCCATGTTTAGGATAACCACTATATTATTTAGATTCAACTCACATTAATTACTACCACTGCTGGCACTGTGGATGCTGGGTGAGGAAAGCAGGCAAGGCCCTGCCTCCCAGGAACCTATAACTGGGAGGAACACATGCGTGCACGCACGGGCGTGTGGACACACACACAACTGCTATGAAAGTACAGGACTGGAAGGGAAAACCTGAAGCACCTAACCTGGCCTGGGGGTGGGGGGTGGGTGAATGGATCTGGGAGGGCTTCCTGAAGGAGGTGCTTCTCCTCAAAGACCTAAATGATGAGTAGGAAGAAATTAATCAACACAAAGTGGTAAGACCTGTTGAGAGAGCTATAGCGAGGGCTCAGCTAAGGCAGGGAGTCTGGGGGTTCAGTGAGGTAATGGAAATTCAGTGGAGGAAAGGGGAAGCCACAGTGGGGGACCTGGGCAGCCAGGTGGGAGGCCAAAGATGCTGAGCCTTCCGGAAGGGTATGTTCTACAGGCAGTCCTGGTTGTATGAGTGAGTGCAAAGAAAGGAATGAATGTGGGGTTCAAAGAGAGGAGGATGAGAAGGTGGGAAAGTCAACTTTACCTCCCAGTGTGAATTATCTCTGGTAGCAAGGAAAGGCAGACACAAAGACCAATGTCTATACTCTCTGGTCCCGACCTGCCACTCCCACCTTGAACTTCGAAGGCTATGGTGTACTGAAAGTGACACAAACCCCAAGGACTGGGTCACTGCCCTTGACTCTGAAAGGGGACATCAATGGGATGTGCCCAGGGCCTAGAGCCAAGCCATCTGAATGCTGACTCAGGCCCCATCGGCCACCTCAGCATTCTCACCCATCCATGCTGAATGGGGCTGTTGAAGCTCTTTGTAGAGGGCTTAGCCACTGACCACACCCTCAACCAGGGCCTTTGACTCCTGCTTTCAGGGGGCAGCAAAAGCCCAAGGGGTCAGTCTGAGCATACTCTTGCCACCAGCTGCTGCTCTGGGAGCATCTTGAGCTGAGGACAATCCTGGGTAAACTGTCTAGGGTGGCATCAGAGAGATGATCCCAGTGGGAGAGAATATTCCTGACTTTCAGGACCATAAGCCCTGGAATGGCAATCCTGCTCACAACCCCCAGCTTAGGGGGGGGGTCTGTCTTGTGCACACACCACAGTGTGCAGGTGGGGTGCTGCAAGGACTCTGTGATTGTCTTACCTCCCCCATCAAACTGGAACTTCCTGAAGGCAGAGGGGTTTCCCCATCAGATGAGTTATGGGTTGTGTCTCCCCCACCATCAGACAGGTGGTTTGGAATCTTGCCCATCAGAACCTGAAACCTCTCAAGTCCAGCATTCCTCTCCCCCTTAGTGTTTAACACAGGCATCAGACTGTGTTTAACATCATACTGTGTCTCAGTCTGATGGTGAGCCATGGGCCAGCAAAACCAACACCTCTCTAGATAAATTGTCCCCATCTTGTCTTGTCCTTATCCCTTGCTGGTCTTTGTCCCAAATGGGATCTGGGCCCCCAGCCCCAGCACATAGGTCTACCCCTGCCAGGTATGAATTTTCAGGTATGGGAGAGGGCCAGGTGCCATGAAGCTGATGCTGCATGTTACCCTTTGGTTGGTGCTACTGCTGGTGTCCAGGCTGGAGGCCACCAGGAAGGGATCCCTGCAAGAAGCCTTCTTCTATTATGGAATCTTCCCACTTGGTATGTCCATTCCTCTGTTTGTCTGTCTGTGAGCTTGTCCCCCTTGGCTGGCTTGCCAATAAGTTTGGTGTTTTAGCATCCTGACAGGTAGAATGAAGAAAACATAGTTGCTCAAAAATGAAAGAAGTTCCTAACAGATATTTTAAGTTGCCATACAGATAGGAAATGCTAACCAGAGCTAACATTATGCCAAAGAGAAAATGTGTTTAATGTATCATGTCTTCCCCCACCCCACCCCACATGCTTCTACTCCTAGGGAGACAGGAGCAGGCTACTGGCTGGGGAGATTAGGGGAGGCTAAGGCCCAGAGTGGGGTCTCTGCTTGCAGGCTTCTCCTGGGGTGTGGGCAGTTCTGCCTTCCAGACAGAGGGTGCCTGGGACCATGATGGGAAAGAGCCCAGTGTCTGGGACACCTTCACACACAGCGGGAAGGGGAAGGTGTTTGGAGACGAGACAGCAGATGTGGCTTGTGATGGCTACTACAAGATCCAGGTGGGTGGCGTATGTGTGTGTGTGCATACCTGAGAGGAAGGCATTGATATACTGGGGAGGCCTAGGTAACAAAGTCAACCCAGTGCTCTGTTGAACACCCTCTACCCCAGTACAGTCAGAGGCTAGGCCAGTGATGACAAGTTGGGGTATGCCAGGATGTTGGGTTAGGAGAAAAGCAGGGGCCCACCTAAGCCAGTGCCTTAGTTCAAGCAATGGGTGGCTGGAGGGCTAATGCTGAGGTCCAAGGCCTGAAGGCCATGGTGGCTGAACTCTGGCCCCTGCTTGTGAATCAAACCCCTACAGAGTGAATAGCACTAATTCTCTTCAGTCCCTCTCCTCAGTACCCACTTTCTTCACTGGGTTGATTTCTTGGGGGAGTTGTCACTCAAGTTTATTGGGAACACCTAAGGGACTTCTCAAATTGTCCCATATCCTGCATTTTTTTTGACTCATCACCAAGAGGAAGTGGAGCAAGGGGTTTCACAACTATTTTATCAGTAATAGTTCCTTCCTTACTCCTAGGAGTATGGAGAAGAGTAAGCCTTGGCCAGGGTGTGGGGGTACAGAGTGACCCCACTTCCCTGCCCCTAGGGCCTAGGTGACCTGCCTGTCCCCCACCCCATCTACACAGGAGGATATTGTTCTGCTGAGGGAGCTGCACATGAGCCATTATCGATTCTCCCTGTCTTGGCCCCAGATCCTACCTACAGGCATCCGAGGTGAACAAGGGCAGCCTCACCCAGCCCATTCATGGCCCCTTTGGCCATGTCGGTCTTTCAGGAATGCCGCAGGGCCCTGGGGAGGCAAAGCAGCCCATGAAGCTGGTTTCTCCTGGCAGCAGCTCTGCAAGTTCTGCAGGTAGCTGGGCTCCCAGGAGCAGTCCCCCCACCATGCCCTCCCCACAAGACCTGCATGCTGGTGGGTGGAGGGTGCCTTCAGGCCCAAGAAAAGCCACAAAGTGCTACACTGTGGCCCAAGACCAATGTCCTTTCTCAGAAAGTCCCTTTTTATTTTACCTTCAGCTGACCAGGTGAATGAGAAAGGAATCCAGTTCTACAGTGATTTCATCGATGCCCTTCTGAAGAGCAACATCATTCCCATTGTGACCCTGCACCACTGGGATCTTCCCCAGGTGAGGACAGATGCAGAATCACAAATCCATGGGGAGACTGACTCTGCCGGAGGGAGCCTAATTTGGGGTTGGGACAGACATGGGGGTCTAGCATCTGGCTTGGGATCTGAAGATGGGAGGGAATGAAAGAGAAATCTCTCAAACTCACCAGGGCAGGCAGTTCTCACTGATGTTCATAACGAGTGGTGAAGGCAGATTTTGATGTTTTCCAAAAGAAAATTTTGGTCTAAAAATAACAAATCAAACTATAAAGAAAGAAACATCTTTTTTTTTTTTTAAAGATTTATTTATTTATACAAGAGCTGGGGTACAGTCAGAGGTGCAGGAGAGCGAGATAACTCACCAGAGACAGAGTGGGGAGCAGAACAGGCAGATGACTGAAGACACTGCTGAGGGGAGCAGTGAGCGAAGCAGGAGAGGTCTGCCATGCCATGTGGGACTCTCTCTGGCCGGCTGGGAATCGAACCCACGCTGCAGAGGCTGTGGGCAGCTTCACAGTGAGGCGTTCAACCTGCTGCGCCAACGGGGAGGCCCAAGAAAGAAACATCTTTTGACTAAAATTTGATGACATGACATAATTTAGCCTTTTTCCCAGTTTGTTTGAGCCATAGCCCTCATGCCTAAGCACCCACTCCCAAGATACTTGCACGAACTTTCAAGATGCTTAAGAAAATCAGCTACACATCACCATTCAAACAAGTTTTTCATCATTCCACAAGTCCCCACTGAGATCATGGCCTCCCTGTAGTGTGTATATAACTCTGACACAGGGCAGGTGACGCTGAGTAGTCTCAGGAGGCCAAAGGAAGGAGACATGGCTGCGGGCAGGTGTTGGCAAGAAGATGAGTCCCATCAGTGCTTTGAAGGCTTGGGACATGAGATGGGAGGAGGGGGTACTCTGCTTGGAGGGTGCTGCTCTGGGGGATGGTGCGGAGGCAGGGAAGGACTAGACAAGGACTAGACAAGGCATTCAGGTAGATTTGGGGAGCAGACAGGAGAGGGGGAGAGACACTGCAGGAGTAGCTTGGGGCCAGAGGTGGAAAGCCCCCAGCTGGAGTCACTGGGGTTTGAGGTGGGGAAAGGGAGCCTCCAGAAGCCTTTAAACTGGAGTAGGAGGCATAAAGCAAGAAGTAGGCTTTAGGGAGGTGACCTAGAAGTCACATTCCAGTTTTTTCCTTTGCTGATTGCTTACATTAACCTGCCCCCTTTAGTATTCCTGCAAACCCATCAGGTAGTCTTGATAAAATAATGAATCCCGGAAAAATGCCATGTCATGAGAAAACAGATTTCTTTGGGAGACAGCCCTGCACCCAAGAAAGCAGCACATAGGCTTCTGGGAGGTTTCTAACATCTGAGTTTCTAATCAGAGCTTCCATGCCCAGACTCATGTCTTATTCCCTTAGAACTTATAGTCAAATATAAAAATAAAATTTAATAAATAAAAAAAAAAGAACTTATAGTCAAGATTCTCTTCCCATTTTTAGACCCCTTTTCCTGGCAAATTTACTTATATGTTCATTCTATCAAGCACCTTATAAAGTTTAAAAATGACAGTCTCAAACCTTCTCTGGTCCCTCCCATATTCATACAGATGGATCACACAGTTTATCTCCACATGTAATTGTTTCATAGTCCATCAGTTCACCACCTCCAAGTCTCAGCACCCAATGTCCTGCGCATCTTTGCCCCCTTTCTGCTAAACATCCTCTGTAGCTGCAATAACGCATGTTTCTCCCATAAACTTGGCCAATCAGCTCCAAAAGACTTCTCTGCAGACAGACCTTTGAGAAACCTGCTTTTCTCTCCTCTTCTCTTTGCAGCTGCTTCAGGTCAAATACGGTGGGTGGCAGGATGTGAGCATGACTACATACTTCAGTGAATATGCCAATCTGTGCTTCGAGGTCTTTGGGGACCGGGTGAAGCACTGGGTTACCTTCAGTGATCCTCAGGTAAGCAGGGCCCTCTGTAGGTGAGGAGACCCACTTCCTGGATTAGCATGTACTCTACCTTTTCTCACAAGTCCTGTGGTCCACACTTGCATCCCTATAGACAATGGCAGAAAAAGGCTATGAGACAGGCCACCACGCACCAGGCCTGAAGCTCCATGGCATGGGTCTGTACAAGGCTGCACACCACATCATTAAGGTAAGGTGGGCCCTTTCGGGATTGAAGGCTGGGTTCAAAGTAGAGGGACAGGGCCTCCCTGGTGGCGCAAGGGATTAAGCACAGCATTGTGAAGCTATCCACAGCCACTGCAGTATGAGTTCCATCCCCGGCTGGCCAGGGAGCTACCCACATGGCACAGCAGACCTCTCCTGTCTCGCCAGCTGCTCCCCTCAGCAGTATAAATTTCAGTCAGTCTGTGTGGTCTGTTCCCCACTCTGTCTCTGGTGAATCCTCTCACCCCTCCCCCACACTTCTGGCCTGTACCCCAGTTCTTGTATGCATAAATAAATCAATCTTCAAAAAAAAAAAGTGACGGGGCAACTCCCAATGTCAGTTCATGCTGCCCCAGGGGGCTAAGGCTGAGCTCATCCTCCATAGTTCCACTTCAAAACCAGCCTATTCCATACACCTTTCCACTTCCTCCCATGAATATTATAAGGGAGGGTCCTGTCATCTGTGCTCTGCTGCACACTGTGGCCTATGTGATAAAATGGCTGCTCTCCAGAGCTTACAATATAGCTCAGGGGATGGAGCATACACCTGTGAAAACATGTCACCTATAGGTCTAAACTGTCTTGTGAGGTGACAGGTGGAATGGTGGTAGGTGGGGTGGAGTAGAGGTGATAGTACAAAGGGCTAAAACCTCTGAATGAATGAAAGTAACAGCAGGTTGGTGTAGGACAGCAGTGAGGAAGAATTAGGAGTGCTCCCTGATACCATGGGCTTCAGAGGATCAGGGGTTTTTGAAGACACAAGGAGAAAGAGTTTGGAAGCAACAATAAAGAGCAACACAGACATTACCTTAAAGTTTTGGGGGTGTAAGAAAAGAATGCCTGAAGTAGTCTTTACCAGCATCAGGCATCAGTTAGGCAGTGACAGTGAAGGAGACACTCAGACAAAAGTGATAAAGTGACTCACCATGGGTTACAAGGCTACCAGAAAGACTTGAGCAGGGGGAATAGAAAGGATGACATTACAGGACTGGATGAGGGTAGGGTGATGATGACTGGAAAACAGGAATAAGACACGATGGGAAGGCCCCAGTGACTCTAAGCTGAAGTCGGATAATCTGAGAAAGCAGAAAAGGGTCACTGGAAGGCATACCAGACCCTTGAATTCATGTGAGAGAAATTCTCATTCTTTCTATCTTAGGCATATGATTCACCTGTGATTAAAGGGTAGAGATCTGAAGACATCTTTAGTAATGAACATGGAGGTGACTTTTGTCTGTAAAAGGTAGTAAGGTAAATAGAGGTGATTCTTATACATACATAAAGTCCTCACTTATTGTCATCAGTAGATTCTTGAAAACTGTGACTTTAAGTGAAATAACACATAATTAAAAAAATTGAGTAACGTCATTTCATTCAAAGTCATTTTGTTATAACATTGACAAGAAAATAAAATCCCAGCTGACACGGAACAAAATAATGTTGTTCGAGGACCACATATATATTATGTATATTATATATATTAGAGATATACCATGCCCTTTTTAATTTTTTTTTGAGGTGTAACTGACATGTTAGTTGCAAGTACACAATGTAGTGATTCAATATTTGTAAATATTGTAAAATGATCACAAACCACAACAGATTTAGTTAATATCTATCACTAGACAGTTACAAATATTTTTCTTGTGATGAAGACTTAAAATCTATTCTTAGTCTCTTTCAAATATGCAATAGTCACCTTGCTATACATTTTATCCCCACAACTTACCTACTTCACAACTGAAGTTTGTACCTTTTGACCCCCTTCACCCTCCCCATCCGAATAGCGCTTTCAGAAGTTCTACTTCATCACTTCATTAGACAATCCCACGACTGTTTGTCTAGTTGGTTACTGCTGGCTGGCAAGGAGGAATTACAGGGACAGAAGGCTGATGAATTAGACTGTTTCCTCTATAGTATAAAGAAAAAAAAAAGAAAATAGTTGCCTCCAAGGTCTGAGGAAGGGAGACTATGGATTGGCATAAGCAATGCTGAAAAACGATAGAACTTATATTGGATCTCTGGAAATAGGAAGGAAACGCCACTTCGGGCTGACAGGGAGGAGTCAGGCAGCTCTGTGAATTCTGGCTCCTCTTGCAGGCCCACGCACAAGCCTGGCATTCCTACAACCGCACATGGTATCACAGGCAGTAAGGTGAGCTTCACCATATGCGTGCTGAGGAACAGACAATTCTTGGACCAGCAATGTCCTTCCTGCCTCCCACCACCCTTTTCTTTTTTTCACAAGGTCTGGTGGGGATTTCATTAAACTGCAATTGGGGAGAACCTGTGGATACCAGTAACCCCAGGACATAGATGCAGCCGAGAGATACCTACAGTTCTGCCTGGGCTGGTTTGCCAACCCCTTGTGCCACCAGGGAGACCCCCCAAAATGCTATACGCATTTTTAAAAAATACTTTTGAAAATATACCATGAAAGAGAAATATTTTATCCATTCTAGTTTGACTGAATCATACTGTTAATTGCTAATTCTAGTATTTTGTTTATATTGGCCTTTGTGGAGGGAAAGAAGGAAGGAATACTCAACCATTATACCAAATGGAATGAAAAATCAAACACTCTATATACTGTATTTACTCATTCAGCAAGTAATTATCAAGCCATCACTATTAGCTAGGGGGTATTTTAAGCTTTGTTTGTGTAGCAGTGAACAGAACAACGTCCCTGTTCCACAGAGCACTTCTCATGCAACAGAATCCAAAGGATCAGAGATATGCATCAAGAAATGTCAAAAAATACCATGTTTTTATATTGAATTTTGTTTTTATTTCTCTATAAGGGATATTGGAGAAATACACTTCATTTTAACAAAATAATCTTTAAGACCAAACCATATCAATTCAGTTACTTTTATAAGTCAATATACCACTGAGCCCTCACCCCATCTAAATAACTAAGCAATATTAAAAATGTATATTCCATTAAAGTAAATGTAGAAACATGTAGAATTTACTGTTGAGTCTAGTAAGCTCCAAGAGAACGTGGGCTATGCCTTATTAATCTTGCTAACCAGGATGCCTGGCACAAAACCCAAATAAATACCCACTATTCTATTAATGTACATGAAATATGTGTAACACTTAAAGATTATTATTTAACTATGTAAGAATGACCATAAAAAATTCAATGTGGAAATTCCCACACCTCTTAAGATATACAATAACATCTCTGAATGGCTAGAAATGTTTCTTAAGGATTTTTTTCTGTCACAAATCCTCCCCCTCCAAAAATAGAAAAGGTAAAATATGGCTGCTAATATTCTGAGATTAATTTATGGCAGTACAATATTGATATGCATTCATACTTTATTACAGTACGTATGGAATAACCAAATTTAGGCATTCTCTGTCACAATTTTTGAAATATTTTACAAAGCCCTGACATAATTTTTTTAACATTTAATTTACCAGGTTCTCTTTTATAGCAAATGAGAAAAATGAGAAAGTGTGATGATGCCATTTTCCAAGTTTCTCCAATACAGTTAAAACTTTCAGGATGAAGCTATCAATAGATTCATGAAGATGGTCACATTCTCATTGCAGTGCTGCTCTCTCCCATTTCAGAGCCTCTGCTAAGTCACATGCAGATGGTGACGGAGATCGTGCTACCTACAGTCTGCACCCTCTGTGTACTCATCGCTGCGGTTCTCCCAATGCTCCTCCTGCAGGGCCAGAGCTGAGCCAGGATACCCATTTAGTAGCTTCATCTTTCATACAGAATTTTCAGCATCTTCATTTCCTTTCTCTGTGTTGAAGGTTTACATACATTTCTGTTTTCAGGTTCTAATAATTCTTTTTTTCCCCCTTTTTCTCTCTCTTTTTAATATTTATCCTGGTTTAAGAATTAGAAAATAAAAGTAAGCATAAATAAAATAAAAATCAGTCCTCTCAAAGTCAATGATAATATTCTGCTATGTACTATGCACCTATTTTCATTTTGTAGACAGGGAACATAGTGCACAAGCTGCTTTGTGATGTGACTTCTTTCCATTCTTAAATCTGTCCAGAAATATAAATAACATAGAAATGACTGCTATCCCAGTGCTGCCCTATCTATACAAGATGGATAGAGTCAACCATGTAGAGACAACAATACTTTCAGGCTGAAGCCACAGGTAAACATCAGCTAAGCAACAGCTAAGGTGGGCACCAAGTAAACGAGTACACAGTCCCAACACACATTTCTCTAAGATAAACTTTCTTAGCTAAATTTAATTCACTTTGCTCAAATAAATATTATATATTTAATTCATATATCTTCTCTATAACTAAATATTCTACTTTTAAATTAAAAATCCATTTTACTGTTAACTATGCTAAAATTATCTCCTTTTATTTAGGGACAAAACATTCTTCAGAAGGAATGATATCATCCATTTTATTCATTATCTGATTCGACTTAATGTTTCTGAAACCCCAAAACAGTAAAATAGTAGAAAATGCTTTTCCATTAATTCTTTTGGCTAATACCAGCTCAAATGAAAACTGTTTTAAAAAGTTATTTACATTGGGGGCTTAGTCCCACATTTGGGTTGGGGTAAAGCTTTTAAACAAACCTTTACTTTCAGTGTAACACTGGTATATCCCTATTTAGCGTTTTCCCCTTCCATCAATGTTTTTGCAACCAAACTCTCTTTCTACTATATATAAAGTGCAAAGACATTACTACTCAGAAAAAAATTTTGTTTCTCCAGGTTTAAGATTACACTGACTTATTAAACTCACCACAGAAAATAGGAAGGAAATTAAGGAATTGTACTGCTCAATTATATCTGATAAGCCTTTTATGTGATGACTAATGAATACCCTATAGTCCTAATTCCAAATTGGCATGCATTAATGAAAAAACTAAACCTTAATCTAAGATGTCACAAAAATTCACAGAGAACAAGAAAATGCTACCTTATATAGAAGATCCCATCGGCATTCTTCACTTGAAATGCACATGGCTGCAGGTAACCATGTTAGTGAAGGACACCCTTTCTTCTAGGCTACCATTTAATGTCAATTCAGAAAAATCTGTGATCAGAAAGATGTATCAGAATTGCTTATCACCCTGTTGCCTTTTTTTACCACACATATGGCCAATCTTTACAATAATCAAGGAGTCAAAATGACATGTCTTCTAATGAAAGATAATTCATTTAGACAAAAGTCAACAACAATTTCTTTAAATAATAAATCCTCTTGCTGCATTGAAAACAAAAGCAAACCAAAGTATAAAGCAGATTTTTTTTAAATTAATGTATTTTTAATTTGGGAATTGACAGCTTTACTTTTTGTGCCTCATATACTATAGTTAAACAACTATCTTTTTTCCAATCTTAACATATGTCTCAGAAAACAATTTCTACTTAGGTTTTGTATAGTTTTAGGGCCCACACATATCCATTTTTTTCTCCTGAAGACTATGCCACTGAAAAATAAATCGGTACAATTAACATTTATATGAGATTATGTCAACTTCCTTGTGGGTCAACATTTTGGTTTCCATATTTTCACCATTTTCAACAATCATTTGCTGAGTACCCACTGGGTAAGCAGCACTCTACTGGACACTGTTTTATCCCTCATTAATTCCAAATCATTATTCTCTTGTCCCACCGCAGCTAAAAGTTCACTTTTCTCTCTGTCGTCTTCCTGCTTTTAATGTCAACAGCTTTACTCAAGAGTGTCACCATTAGATATCTTGAGAGTAGTCACCCTAAGTGCTCAGACCAGTAAAACAGAAAGTCTATCTTCTTAAATATATATATATATAAATCATCATTGAGCTCTAATATTTATAATCAGGGCTTTAACTCATGACTTTCACAAATGAAGGCCTTCTTCAATAGGTCTCTTACTTTGAGCCAGAGGACAATGAATGATTTCTAGACAAACACATCAAGAATACATGATGGGTAAACCTCTTGTAAGTCATAGTTCAAGCCAAAATGGAGTTTGAGTGTGTGAGTATGCAATATAATTTCATAAGTTCTTATTGTCATCAATGAGTCACAGGACCAATACATTAGTACACTCTTTTAACTCTAACGCTCAAATAACTAACTCTTTTTAAAAGCAATTTAGTCTAAAAGATGTTCAGTATACTTCACTTATTGAGCATCCCTGGAAAAAGGTGTTTAATTTTGCATAAATTTCCTAATAGATCTAATATTTATGTTCTACAATTTCAAAAGAGTATTTAAAAATGTATCATATATAGTTGTGAATTTAAAATATTCAATACATCTTTAAAAAACTTGAAGCAACAGAGAGGAAACAAAGTATTTAAATTGGTGGTTCTCCCACATTGATATACCACCTTATACCAGTAAGAATGGCACATATCAAAAAAAACAAGCAACAACAAATGTTGGCGAGGATGTGGTGACAAAGGAACTCTCCTACATTGCTGGTGGGAGTGCAAAGTGGTCCAACCACTATGGAAAGCTGTCTGGAGGTTCCTCAGTCTACTAAAAATGGAGCTACCATACGATCCAGCAATTCCACTCCTAGGGATCTACCCAAAAGACACAAAAACAGTGATTCAGATGACCACCTGTACCCCTATGTTTATTGCAGCACTATTTATAATAGGTAAAACCTGGAAACCCAAATGCCCAAAAATAGATGACTGGATCAAGAAGATGTGGTATATATACACAATGGAGTATTATTGAGCAATTAAAAAGATAAACTCATGCCATTCACAGCAACGTGGATGGAGCTAGAAGGAATTATGCTCAGCGAAGTAAGCCAGAGGAAAAAGAAAAATATCGGATGGCTTCACTTATAGCAAGAATATAGGGGAACCAAATAAGACATCAGTGTAAAAAAAATAATAACAGTACAAAACACAAGCAAAAACAATTACAAATCAGAGACATACTGCAGGGGAGGAGGCAGGAGGGATCAGAAGGGGAGGAAGGAACACAGGGGACTGAGGTGATGATGCACGGGTGCATTGGGGAAGGAAACTCTATGGGAAATATACCTGAGCGGATGGGGGAAGCAAATAGTTTAAAAATGAACAATGATGTAAAAAAATAAATTAATTAAAAAATGAAAAAAAAAAATTGGTGGTTCTCAACCCTCAACCTTATTTGCCAAATGGAATCACCTGAAGGGCTTTTTTAAATTACTGATGTCCAGACTCTATCTTCGGAGATTCTGATTTACCTGGTCTGAGTATTAGATCTTTAAAAGCTCCCCACCATTTCAATGTTAACCCTATTCCTTAGGGTTAAAAACCTTAGGGTTATAATTGGGTGTGTTGTTCCAGATCTTTTACTTTGCCCCAGTCTCTGTTTTTCTTCCTTTGTCACTAGAAACAAATACTGCGATTAATAATCTTGTTTATAGGTGTTTTTGCACACTTTGTTATATGTGTGGAATAAGTTCCTATTACTGGAACCCCTGAACCAAAGAATATATTTTTTAAACCATTTTGGTGGCTACTGCTCTCCACAGCAGCTGTAAAACTTTACACTCCAGTTGGCAATGTGTGAGATTGCCTGCCTGTTCTCCCATTATCCTTGCCAGGGCTGTGACATCAAACTTTCTGATCTTTGCTAATTTGGCAGTTCAAAGATTATCTCCACATAATATAAAACTGCATTTTTCTTATTAAAGGTGGAATAGAGTATCTTTCCTTTTTAAGATGACATTTGAATTTCCCTTTTGTTTGACTATTGATTAAACAATAGTTCAATTGATTATTATTTTTCTTACTGATCTGAAAGGTCTTTATATGTTAAGGACTATAGCCCCTTCTCTGAATGAACGGAAACTTCTTTTCCTAGCTTATTATTTGTATGTTGTTTTGCCTCTGGCATATTTTTTTTCCATGCAAAAATTTATTTTTATATAGCTGATTTATAATATTTTACAGCTTCCAGGTTTTTTCTAATCACACTGAGAAAAGATAGCACAATTTTAGATGACTCTTCTAAGATAATTGTTTTTAGTTTATTTAGGACTCTTTACAGTTTAGCCATATGAATAAAGAAGTTTTCATTCTAGGGCCTCCCTGGTGGCACAAGGGGTTAAGATGCAATCTATGAAGCTATCCGCAGCCACTGCAGCACAAGTTCGATCCCTGGCCAGGGAGCTGACCCACAAGGTGCAGCAGACCTCTCCTGACTTGCCTGCTGCTCCCCTCAGCAGTGTATTTCAGTACATCTGCCTGTTCTGTTCCCCACTCTGTCTCTGGTGATACTCTCATCCCCCCACACCTCTGGCCTGTATCCCAGCTCTTCTATGCATAAACAAATCTTTATTAAAAAAAGTTTTCATTCTAGTGGACAGAAGTTCCCATAATGCCAAATCAGAACATATTTTTTTGGAAAATAATCAACAATTTCTGGAAATAATTTTCCAAGGTACCAATCACTATTTGTATCCCAGCAGTGGTTAATTACAGATAGGACTTTTCAATCTTCTTTAATTGAATAATCCTTGCAATATTTGAATGAGGCCATTAAAGATCTATACAAACAAGAAACACCAGCAGCTTACATATAACCCAAATGCATGAAGATATATAAGTGTCTTACTGAAGAAGGAAGACTTGGTGGGCCTGCCAGTTACACATGGGACTAAAACATTCTTTTGACTGACGTTGTCAATCTTTGATACTAGAGTTTTAATCCTTAAAACTGAAACCTCCAGGCCCTTATTCCAGTCAAAAAAGATACTAGGGAAGAAATACCACTGTCTTAAACAGTGCATGAAAGTGTGAGTTGTCATTTCCATCTTATAATCTGTTGTACTCCTATGTCTCCATTGCGTGACCTGTTTTAATAAAAGCGCCTTTATCCAAGATAATGAGAAAACGCACACTTGTAATTTTTCAGGATATGCCTGATACCCAGGGTTCAGGAAAATTATTTAATAACAAGAACAAGAACAATAATGATGATATCTCCATCTTGAACTTTGTTCAATTTCTATTGGAATAACATAATTTCCTCTTTACCAGGTCTGTGGAAATTCAGATGATCCACAGGTGGACTGTCACTCAGTTGCCAAACTGTTTTCACCTTCTTTTGACCACTATTTATTTCTACTCTCCATTTCTGTGGCTTCTCACTAAGAGGAAAAAAAAAAAAAAATCAAGGGAAAAAAACAGTTCTTTCCTTTGTCCTACAGTCTCTTAGTGAAGTCCTTATGTGACAAGGCACTGAGGCGAAAGAGATAAACAGGTCATAATTCACAACCTTAAGCAGTCAAGAGAGAGAAAAAAAACAAGAATATAAATGATTAAGTCAATGAAAAAAACCTCAAAATGCTGTAATAGAGAAATACTGAATTAGTGGTAGGGGACCAAAAAAGAGGGTAATTTAACTCAGACTGGGATTACAGAGTTGGAAAAGAATCCTCAGAGATTGTGGCATTTAAGCAGAGCATGAAATAAGGAGTTAGTTAATGGACCAGATCCATCCAAGATCCAGGATGAAGGAGCACACATTCATAGGCACCAAGGGGTGTGACTGAAAAAATGCAGTAACCGTGTCCTAAGCTTTGTCAGAGCAGTTTCAGGGGAGTGATGGGGTTTGGCTAGAGGGAATTAAACAGAGAGTATAAACAGAATGGTTTTAGTACTAGAGAAACATCAAGTATATCAAATGCTGAGGGAAGAGTCATGGGGAGCAGCATTTTAGGCAACCCCAGTGTCCACATGATGACCCATCCGTCATCTTAGCCTCACAGTTCCACACCTCCCCAAAGCCCAAGCCCTTCTTCTACTCCCGCAACTATACCTTTGGCTTTGCTGATCACTTTCCTCTCAATATGTCATTTTTCTTCTAGCTCTACTTTCTGCCCTATACTCAAAGAAATTTAAATTGAGAAAAAAGTGAGATGAGAGGCCCAATTGTCAAAAGAAAGTAGACAAAAGTTCTGGGAGAAGGAAAAGGAAGAACTCCATCAGATTGATCAGAAAATGAGATAAGGATGATTCAAGTTTCAGAAATGAATCATGAGGTCCCCAATTCTTGGATACAAGAATTGCTTAGAATTGGGCCTCCCCTGGTGGCTGGGCTGCGAAGCTGTCCGCAGCCTCTGCAGTGCCGGTTCGATCCCCGGCTGCCGGCAAGGGTCCCACATGGCGCACAGACCTCTCCTGCCACGCCCGCTGCTCCCCTCAGCAGTGTATTTCGTCAATCTGCCTGTTCTGTTCCCCGCTCTGGCTCTGGTGAATTCTCTCACCCTCCCGCGCTTCTGACTGTACCCAGTGCTTGTATAAATAAATCAATCTTTAAAAATTGCTTAGAATTATAGTCAAGCTTTAAAGTATAATTCAATTTTTTTACCTTTGATATAAGTTTTTTATAGCAGTTGGTCTGACTGGCAGTTGAAAAACATGATGTTCATCAAGGGGATTTTGTTTATAATATTTTATGCAGGATCTAAAAAAAAAAAACCTCCTTTGGAAAAAATTGCCACATGGACTTTCTGGTAATCTAAAGTTCACAAGGGAAATAGTTTATTGAGTAACATTAACCACAACATCAACAAGTGTAATTTCAGGCCCATAAAAATAAAAACAAAACAAAACAAATAACCATTCCCTGACAAGACTTAAATTACGCTTTTTTCTTTGAAAGGAAATTTCATTCTCTTTAAAAAAATAGTATGTATATTTCTCACAAATATAAAACATATCTATGTTGAGCCCAAGTAAAGGGTTTAATTGGGGAGAAAAAAGTATCAGAAAGAGAAAAACAAAAGGAGGCAAAGAAAGATAAAAATACAGCTTGCATGGTTTTAGAGTTGGGGAATTAAGGAGTTAAGTCATTTATACTACTTATCTTTAATGAATACTTTTTAGATTCTGTAAAAATAATTTCGAATTTTTTCCTTTACAAGAGAAGCAAATTCTGATTTTGGTAAAGTGATACATTTTCTTTCAGAGGAAAAAAACCCACTCCAAGGTCTCAAATATGTATGACACCAAGAATCCATGTATTAGAATTAATCCAAATTGTTTTTAGTCAAACTGATTAGTAGAGTTTCTAAAATAACAGCAATTCTACTGACAGAGTTCTCATAATATTTGACCCCATTCAGTTACCATACAGTGACTAGCAATGATTACTTTGGTCCAAATCTATATGGATGTAAAGAAAAAAGGAGTATTTATTAAGCACCTATTGAATGTCAGAAATTTTACACATGTCATTTAATCCTTATGATAAACTGATGAGGTTATTAGATCCTTATGACAAACTGATGAGGTTATATAGATCTCCCCCTGCCAAAAAAAAAAAAAAAAAAAAACAATGAAAGGAAACTTCCTCAGAAGTTGGGAAGTGATAAGAATCAAAACTGATACTTTTGAATCTGAAGATTTTCCTTTCTATAACTTGGAACTACTCTGCTACAGTGAAGACAGGGTGCACAGGTATCTAACTAGTAACAAAAACTATACATTTTTGTGGCTGCATCTATTTCACAAAAGAATACACTTTTATGTGTATTCACGACAGAGAAATACTTACTGTGTTAAAGAAAAGAGAAGCTCATGTTGAAGTTTAATGAAAAACATGCAACTGACTAATATTTCTAGAATATGGTGGAGTTTTTGAACACGATGAACCTGTTCTTGTATATCTACTGATGGAGAAATGAAATATTCCTGGAATTAAAAAATGCAAGCAAAACAGGAAGTTAAAGAACAAATGAAATCTTCAGCAAGAAAATGGTTATGTCTGCTAAACTTAGTTGCTTAATTAATAGAGCAGGGGGGAAAAAACAGGAAGCAGCTAGATAGAATTTACCAGCTTTCAAGGCTATTTATTTTATTTTATTTTATTATTTTATTATTTTTTTTATTTATATATGTATGCATACAAGAACTGGGATACAGGTCAGAGTGTGGGGGGGTAAGAGGGTTCACCAAAGACAGAGTGAGGAACAGAACAGGCAGATTGACTGAAATACACTGCTGAGGGGAGCAGCAGGTGAAACAGGAGAGATCTGCTGTGCCATGTGGGTTTCTCCTTGGCCAGCTGGGGATTGAACTCATGCTGCAGTGGCAGGTAGCCTGATAGCGGTCTTTAACCCCTGAGCCACCAGGGAGGCCCCTCAAGGCTATTCTTTAAACTATAAGTAAAATCTGCACTTAGAATGTTTTAACCAAACCATTACATACATTTCTCAATAAAAGTAAATCACAGAACTGATTCACCAAGGAAGTCCAAATGGGAAACTAATACCACCCATCAAGCTCTCCAGATGGAAAGCATGGCAAATCCACAAAACAGTTCTTAATTATAATACCCTTTCTAGGTTGATGGAAGCTTGTACCTCTAAAAGTAGGTAGTAAACCTGAAGTACTAAGAAATTAAGCAACTGTATTGATGAGATTCCACTTTCATCTATTTTTGGTAAGTTGGCTAGACCCTTTGGAAAAGAAGTTTGGGAATACATGTCAAGCACCATAAAATTTCTGAGAACCCATTCTAAGGAAATAAACCATGGCAAATATCATAGGTGGAATTCTATCACAGTCTCCAAAATTGTGGCGCCCTAGAGTATACCTTTTGGATAATCCCATCTCCTTGGATGAGGCCAAAAAATGATTATGATGGACTGTTACCCCCATGACCAGGCTACTAATCAACTGAATTGGTTAAAAAGACATGGTCGTGACCTGATAACCCACTAAAAGGTGAAGCATTAGAGCTTTCCTAGTGGTTCTGAAGAAACAAACTGCCTGATGTGTTGTGGGAAGGGTCACATCGCAAGGACCCAAAAGCAACTGAGACCATCTTGGACCAAGAGCCCACAAGAAAATGGGGACTGGGACTCCCTAGTGGTGCAAGGGAGGTCCACACTATGAAGCAATCCACAGCCTCTGCAGCACGAGTTCGATCCCCGGCGGACCAGAGAGAAACCCACATGGCAAAGCAGACCTCACCTGTCTCGCCTGCTGCTGCCCTCAGCAGTGTATTTCAGTCAGTCTGCCTGTTCTGTTCCCCACTCTGTCTCTGGTGAATCCTCTCACCCCTTGCATCTCTGGTCTGTCCCCAGCTCTTGTATGCAAAAATAAATAAATCTTTAAAAAAGAAAAGAAAATGGGGACCTTTGTCATATGACCACAAAAAACTGAATTCTGCCAATGACAAATGAAGGAACTTGAAAGCGGCTTTTTTCCTGGCCACGGCTCCAGATGAGCACACGGTTGGGTGACACTTTCATTTCAGGCCTTGTGAAATCCAGAGCAGAGGAACCAACTAAAACATGCTCAACTCCAACACCTGGAAACTATGATGCATTTGTGTTCATTTGAGCTTCTAAGTTTGTAGTAATTTGTTATGCAGGAGTAGGAAACTAATACAATAAGGGAAAAGCATTAGAATCATTTGGAGTAGGAAATGGTTTACTTAGAAAAACATTCCTGCGCCTAAGAACTACAGAGTTGCTAGGCCCAGGAATTAACATTTTTAAAAGCCTCAAAGTTTAATGACTGTTGGGCCTCCCCGGTGGCACAGCGGTTGAGCGCTGGGTTGCGAAGCTGCCCGCGGCCTCTGAGGCGCAGGTTCGATCCCTGGCTGCTCCCCAGCCACCGGAGGAGGGTCCCACATGGCGCGCAGACCTCTCCTGCCGCCCGCTGCTCCCCTCAGCAGTGTACTTCAGTCCTTCTGTCTGCTCTGCTCCCCGTTCTGGCTCTGGTGAATTCTCTCACCCTCCCTCGTTTCTGACTGTACCCAGTGCATGTATAAACAAACAAACAAACAAACAAACAAATAAATAAATAAAATACGTGCCTCTTTAAAAAAAAAAAAAGTTTAATGACTGTTATGTGTCAAAAGTTTGCAGTCAAAACATACTAAACAATGAGATGACCTCGGGGGAATTCATAAAAATGGGAGCACTCAGATTTGTTTGATGAGATTAGGGTGTATTTACCCTACTGTCTAATTTTCAGTAATTATTAAGTTTTTGAAAAATGTATAGAAACAGCAAAGCAAATACATGTACGTATTTTTTTCCTGCTACAGCACATTTTTACTAAAAATATATCCACTTACTAAAAAATCCAGTGGAGTCTTACTTTGCATAATAGACAAAGAGTATTTCTATCTTGTATTTTTTTTTGGGGGGGGTTTTCTAGGTATTTTTTCTTTTTTTTAATTTAAATATTTTATTTTATATAATTCTTAGATCTTTTTTCATCTTTGCACAATGTATGCATTTTCATTTTGGTTTTCTATGCGGTACATATACACCATGGAATATTACTCAGCAATCAAAAAAGATAAACACATGCAGTTTGCAGCAACATGGATGGAGCTGGAAGGGATCATGCTCAGCGAAATAAGTCAGAAAGAAAAAGAAAAATACTGGATGGTCTCACTCATAGCAGGAATTTAGAAAATCTATCTTGTATTTTTATAAAAGACAAATAACAAACCTTTTGATACTAAAGATTTGTTTTCTAAAAGATCTTCCAATGAAAGTCAAGGGTCAATACAGATGTTGTTCAATCTTCTAATCCTAAAGCACCTAATCATAACCCTGAAGCCCAAATGTGTCTTTTAAATCAATATATTAGGGCCTCCCAAGTGGTGCAGCGGGTTGAGCACTGCGTTGTGAGGCTGTCTGCAGCCTCTACAGCATGGGTTCAATTCCCGGCCGGCCAGGGAGATACCCACATGGCACGGCAGACCTCTCCTGTCTCACCCGCTCCCCTTAGCAGTGCTTTCGGTAAGTCTGCCTGTTTCTGATCTCGGCTCTGTCTCTGGTGAATCCTCTCACCCTCCCACACCTCTGGCCTATACTCCAGCTCTTGTATAAATAAATAAAAAATCTTAAAAAAATAAAATGGAAATCTTTCAAAATAAATAAACAAATTATTAAAGAGCATCATAAATTACTTGGAAGATAATCCCTTAGTGTGCAATAGAAATGAATCAAGAGACTATAAAGCAAATATTCCTATACAGGGTCTACTAAGAAAGGCATTCCCTAACCACTTTGGATAAATGAAAGTTGTGGTAGTACAGTAAGTTCTCATTTAATACCATCAATGGTTCTTGGAGACCAACTTTAAGTGAAACCAGATATAACACAAAACAAAACCTGGTCTTCTGAATAACATCAGGATCTTTTTTGTCTCATCAACTTATAATGGAACAATATTGTTTGAGGAAATGTATATTTGCTTGAGCAAAATACAACTATATGTCAGTACCATAAATTTATAGAGAATGAGAAATAGAATGGCTACTTTTCTGTCTATCTTACAAGGTTGTCATAATTAAGGACATTGACAATCTTGTTTACCTATTTCCTAAGACCCAGGACAGCATACCAAACATTTAGGCACTTAATACCTATATGCAGAATGACTGAATAAAAGAAATACTACTTAGAATAAAAAGTAAACTTACCAAATGATTCAAAGAGGCAAGTTCCTGACCTATGAAGAAAAAACACACACATGATAATAAGCTTTAAATACTTATCTTGGTTGAGGAGTCTAGGAAAAAAATTTTATACTTCATGTATAAGAGGGAAAAATTTTATAATAGATGTATAAGCTAAATAGTTCCTCACAAAAGGCCAAATTTGGGGGCATATTACACTAAAAATAAATACTAGTACTTATTCTAAAAATCATCACAGCTTGCTCCTAATATATTAATAAAATCATCACTATATTAATAAAATCATCATAGCTTGCTCCTAATATATTAATAAAAACCACCAAGCACTGGGTATTAAAACAGCATCTCATAAAAGAGATTTTTTTTTTCCCCTATACTAACCCCATGGAATCTCAAAATGTTTGAACTAAATACAAACAAAATCTATTATCTTTTATCAAAGGGAAAACAAAGGCCCAGAGAACAGAAGTGCTTATCTCACAGTGGAACCAAGAAAAGACAGAACCATAAATAACTAGAGACAAGTAAAAGATAAAATATAAGGATACCTATGGCTGACAACTCTGATGTACTTTTTACCTTTGTGAACTGGAAGAGGGACTTACCTATGAAAAAACTAATATAATCTTTCTTTAGTTTGTCCAAACCAATTTCCAAAAGCATCTGAACTGGAATAGTCCCACAGAGAGACACAGTGTCCATGGTTCCATGATAAGACTGATGAATGAGCTTACTTAGTAAACTGTTACTCCCACTATGGAGCTAGAAATCAAGAAATTTTATAAAACCATGAATATAAGTACAAATAACCCAATAAACAAAAGAGAAGCAAATTGTATTACTAACAAGTTCAAAATTATAAGCTTACATTTTTAGTTCTTGAAACCATACATTGTTTTAATGAAAGTTCCTAAGTTACAAACATGTCAGTTTCTGAAAGTGTCATTGCTACATCATTTGCTTAAGTCCAAAGCAACTACGGGTTTAAGCTTATCACCCTTAGATAAAATTCCACTGAAGAAAAGGCAGAGTTGGACCATTGCAGCTTTACAACTAGGAATGATTTTTCTCCTGCTATTGGACATGTTTTTGAAAATTGAACATCTTCATCTACACTGAAAATCAAATGCTGAAGGAAAACTCTCCTCTCTCTGTGGTCTATGAATGTGTCACTCACATGGAACTCCTTATTGGTTATAATACCCAACAAACAACTTTATCATTTAAAATTAGAGTTGTGAACTTGCACATTTAACATGTGTTCCAAATGTTAAACAACTGATTTTGAACATAATAAAATATTTGATATTTTCTCATTATTATTACCTTTAATTTTATCATAATGTTTTGCCTTTTTTTTTTTGGGGGGGGGGCGGATTTTGCAGGGCTTTAATAAGGTTGACATCCCAAAGAAGCACTGTTCTTGGCCTTCTAAAGCCTCCCTCACAGAGGATGGAGAGGCCTGCAGACACCTCCACAGCTGTGTGTACTGACAGAAGGGAAATGCCAGGTGGCACCTGAGCTGTCAGCCGTTTGTAGGCCCCAAGAGAAAAAAGGCTCCCTGGGGAGAGATGAGTGTTTTTCCTGTACCCTCAGGTAATGCCAGGGTGCTTAACAGCAAAAGCCCCCAGAGTAAGGCTGAGGGATGCATGTTTTTTAAAAATAAAAACTAGTTCACATGGTTGGCACTCATTGCACATAGTAAGGATATACTTATAAATGTCTCACGAACCCAGAAACTCTCATGAGAAAAGTTTGCTAGCAAAGCCTAAAGTGCTCAGTATCACTACTGCCCAATCAGTTTGCATGCTTTTGCCCTGGAGTGTATAGCTCTGTTCATACCTAGTAAAGTGTCTAAGTTTTACAGTCATGAATTAGCAGTCACATTATTTAAGATGATTACTACTAAATGAGGGATCTTCTCTGTAGTTTGGTGATAATTAGCTTTTTCTTTTATTTAAAAATACAAATTCATTGTCGAAAATCTACAAAGCGCAGGAAGGTATAATGCAGTTAGAAAATATTTGTGGGTTTTTTTAAATATTTTTTTAATTACTCCTACAAGAGCTGGGGTGCAAGCCAGAGATGCGGTGGGTGAGAGGATTCACCAGAGAGAGAGTGGGGAACAGAAAAGGCAGATGTACTGAAATACACTGCTGAGGGGAGCTGTGGGTGAGACAGGAGAGGTCTGCTATGGCATGTGGGTCACCTCCCTGGCCAGGGATTGAAACTCGTGCTGCAGTGACTGCAGATAGCTTCACAGTGCTGCATCTTAACCCCTTGAGCCACCAGGGAGGCCCAGAAAAACTCATTTGTAATCCTAACACCAGAGGTGACTGCTTTAACAGTTTGTTTCCAGGTTTTTTCCTCCAAATTTTTTTTTTAATATAGTAACATACACTCCTTTCTTTTTACTGAATATTATAAGCATTTCTCCATATCATCTGTCAGCATTTTTGGCAACTATTACATCTGTTATGTGGCCATATCATTTACTTAGTTATTCTATTTAAGAGTGGTAATTTAGATCATTTACAATTTGTTGCTACTATATCTGAGGGTGTGATGACAATTCTATTATGTGAAATCTTGATACATATTTCTGTGTATTAGCTTAGTGTGGATCCTCAGAAGAATTACTGACTCAAAGAGCATGCTACTTTTGTGAAGATCTCAATCCATTATCAAAATTGCTTTTTAGAGAGTTCCAATTTATATTCTCATCAGTACTACATGAAAATAATCATAGCAACAGTAGCAATACTACTAATAACTTAGAAATACAGAGCATTTATCTATGAGATAGATGTTAGGTACTTTAAATGAATTAAATTATTTAACCCTAAAACAACAGAGGAAGACACTCAGCCTACCCTCACTTTACAGATGAGGAAACTGGGTAAAAAAGAATTAAAGGAATCTTCCCAAATTTCCATAGCTGGCAAGTAGTAGGGTTGGAACTAAACCTCAGGCAGTCTGGCTCCTTAACCACCATGCTATGCTGCTGAGAAAACAAAAGTTCTATCACACAATACTAAACTTACCCATGGCTGTACATCACCATGTTGTAGACTCTGTATGATTAACGTAAAACACTTCACCAAGTCTTGATATGAAGTCACACCTTGGAAAACAAGTCCAACATTATTTTCAAGGTACTTCTGAGATCAAATATGTCATTTATCTTAAGGATACACAAATAAATAAAAGACAAGTATCTCTACTTTATGGATGAGGGAAGGAGAAAAGAAATTAAAGAAAAAAAAAAAAAACCCCAAAACTTAAGGCTTTAAAGGGAAAAACAAAATTCACTGCCACAAAACAAACCTGTAAAAGATTAAGGAACAGCTTTTCCTTTTTTTCTAGTAATTATAATTTCACTAAGGTGTATGTTTTGTTCACATGAATATGGCATAAAAACCACGTAAGTCTTACATTTAAAATAAGAGTAAAGCACAGATTACATGAATTGCACTGTCTTAGTAAAATCTTGAGTAGACTGTTCCAATGCATTATGAGAAATGAATTTGATAAACTAGATTTTCGTATAATGGTACACTTTGTATTATTTCTGAAAGCCTTGAAATAAACCTAAGAGTAATAGCAAAAACTTTATTTTAATATCATGATACCTACTACTGCTCATTTTGGACCACAGCTGCTCAGCAAAATCGAGATCACCCCGTACTGTGAAAAGACACTCAATGGAACGGTCAACTGCAACACTGTCATGCTTCACTATCTAGGGGGAGGGGGGGAAAAGCATCAGAGAACATTCAAGTTATTAAAAAAAAATAAGTAAAATAGTTTCAGGACAGTAAGTTTTCAAATGCTACTCCAAGAAAGGTGGATCTATGAATACACAAAAAGAAATATGTGAATTTTCTACAACTTCATCCATCAAATCAATAGGCAGTGAAAAACTAAGGCCCTTAAATTGTTTTTTACACTTGATCTTAGCCAAAAGGCCGAGAAGCGATAAATTGTTTTTTAACTGTGATGCCTAAAAGCATTCAGCTTTTCATGTAAAAACATTTAATTAAATTATCTGTCTAAATTTTCCTATTTGTCAAGTGACAACCTATTTAGCTTAAGTTAATAATACCATGCATGGACATCTCATAGCATATTAGCTTACTGTAGTCACAACACCTTATGATATATTGACATACTCTTTTCTATTTTTCTGTAGTTGAGCAGTTAGTAATACATACATGTTAGTTCTCTTTAAAAATATCAACTCTTGGGCCTCCCTAGTGGCACAGGGGTTAAGATGCAACCTATAAAGAAATCCGCAGCCACTGCAGCACAAGTTCGATTCCCGGCTGGCCAGGGAGAAACCCACATGGTGGGGCAGATCTCTCCTGTCTCGCCCGCTGCTCCCCTCAACAGTGTACTTCGGTTTGTCTGCCTGTTCTACTCCCTACTCTGTCTCTGGTGAATCATCTCACCCCCCCCCCCCCGGTGCATCTCTGGCCTGTACCCCAATTCTTGTATAAAAATAAATAAATCTTTTTTTTTTTTTAAATTTTTATTTTTTTAAAGATTTATTTATTTATTTATACAAGCACTGGGTACAGTCAGAAGCGCGGGAGGGTGAGAGAATTCACCAGAGCCAGAGCAGGGAGCAGAGCAGGCAGAAGGACCGAAGTACACTGCTGAGGGGAGCAGCGGGCGGCAGGAGAGGTCTGCGCGCCATGCGGGACCCTCCTCCGGTGGCCGGGGAGCAGCTGGGGATTGAACCGGCGCCGCAGAGGCCGCGGGCAGCTTTGCAACCCAGCGCTCAACCGCTGCGCCACCGGGGAGGCCCAAAATAAATAAATCTTTAAAAAATAAAAATAAAAAAAAATAAATCAACTTTTTTTTTTTTAAAGATTTATTTATTTATACAAGCACTGGGTACAGTGAGAAGTGCGGGAGGGAGAGAGAATTCACCAGAGCCAGAGCGGGGAGCAGAACAGGCAGAAGGACTGAAGTACACTGCTGAGGGAGCAGCGGGCACGGCAGGAGAGGTCTGCACGCCATGTGGGACCTCCCTGGAGGCTGGGAATTGAACCCGTGCTGCAAAGGCTGCGGCCAGCTTCGCAGCCCAGCACTCAACAGCTGCGCCACCGGGGAGGCCCTAAAAGTATCAACTCTTAAGGAAAACAATCACCAGGGTGGACATTAAAGACCAACAAAAAATTACCTTCAAAAATGCAAAAATGTACCAGACCCATTTGACATGGCACAACATGAAAGATAACTGTACAACCAAATTTTAAAAGCAATTTCAATGTATATTTGTAACTGACAGTAAGCACTCACCTCTGTGTCTTTTTTTGTAGAATCACCAAATCCATCCAGCTTATTTAAGTCTAGAAAATGGTAAACATTTATTACTTCTGGATTTTATTTTTCTCTTTTCATTCTAATTATTTCCATCCTACTAATTTCCCAACCTAATCCCATCTTCAAATGATGAGTGAGGACAGCAGAAGTAGAACCAGGGATTTTAGAAATGATTTAACTCTTCAATAGAGGTCATAACACACATCCATCAGGCAGAGGTATGAGGATGAACTGTGGTATAGTGAAAGCCCCTGACACAAATCGTCAGGCACACAATTGGTGCGTGAAGGTTACATTCCATCCCACTTCTATAAATAGTTGTGGTATAAAAATTTTAAATTCAATATAAAATCTTAAAATTACTTAGACCTTTACCATTAGCATTCAAAATGAGAGCTGTCTCTCTGGTCATAATGGAACTCACAGCTTTAAATATACTCTACTCAAAAAGAATACCAAGTCTAAAAAGACATTTAAATATAGCCAAGTAGAAGTTCTCAATTAAGTAAAATAAATAATAAACAAATTACAAAAACAAACACCATTTAGAAATTCCTGCACAAGTTCAACAGCAGATTTTGCTTCCAGAGGCTCAGGCCATTCAGTTACACCAGTCCTCAAACCATCAGCCAAAACCTATGGGAGATTAAAAAACAAACACACACAGCAAAAAACTTATTAGCAGAAAACACAGTAAAAAATGATGTATGTTTAATAATAATATTAGTCAGGCCTCCCTTGGTGGTGCAGGTGGTTGAGCGCAGCGCTGTGAAGCTGTCCACAGCCTCTGCAGCGCTGGTTTGATTCCAGCTGGCCGGCCGGCCGCCGAAGGTCCCACATGGCATGGCAGACCTCTCCTGACGCGCCCGCTGCTCCCTGAGCAGTGTATGTCATCAGTCTGCCTGTTCTGTTCCCTGCTCTATCTCTGAATCCTCTCACCCTCCCGAGAATCTGGCCTGTACTCCGGTTCTTATATAAATAAATAAATAAATCTTAAAAAAATAATAATATTAGTCATTACAATACTTATTGCATGTTTAACTATAAGCCAGGGCCTATTCTAAGTGTTTTATATAGTCCATGTTATTTAATCTTCACAAAAATCCTATGAGGCAGATAATACTATTGTACCCATTTTATTGAGGTTAAGAATGGTTAAGTAGGGCCTCCCTGGTGGTGCAAGAGGTTAAGTCTCAGCACTATCCAGGTATCTGCAGTCACTGCAGCATGAATTCGATCCCAAGCCAGGCAGCTAACCCACATATGGTGCAGCAGACCTCTCCTGTCTCACCTGCTGCTCCTCTCAGCAGTGTATTTCAGTAGATTCGCTTGTTCTGCTCCCCACTCTGTCTCGAGTGAATCCCCTCACTCCCCCCCCACCTCTGGCCTGCACCCCAGCTCTTGTATGCATAAATAAATAAATCTTAAAAAAAAAGAGAAGTTAAGTAATCAGGGTCACATGACTAGTAACTGATAGTGCCAGGACTACATCACGTGTCTGACACAAAGATGCTGTTCTATACTATGATGCCGTGTCCACAGGTGCCCTGAAAATGCCTGCAATTCTGGTCAAGAAGAACCAATAACAACAATGCAATAAGCAGGGAACACCAAACATGAAAATGAATGCAAGTTTACATATAAAAATAAATGTGTACGTTTACATATAAAAATAATGTAAATGTGAATGCCAATACATACATATCTAAATCAAATTAAGGAGAAGAGTACACTGCTGGAATAGCAAAGAGAATAATGTGAAACATCAGCTCACTTCAACTGTGAGAAGCACTGGCTACACAGAGAAGGAGATAGACTAAGATGAAGAAAATAGGATGATTCCAACCAAGGTGGAGAAACACCTAGAGAAAGGTGGAAAATATTAGAGGTAACAGAAGCTAGACAGAAAACTAATCTTAAAACTTGAAAATATTTTATTTCACATGGAAAAACAACAGCTACTGTTGATTTTGGGGGTTGGAAAATAACACGATGATGTAGACAACAATTCTTATCAGAAATACCCAGGATGGATTCTAAGGAAAGGTAGAGCACAATTTTTTTTCCTTTTTTCCCCCATATATTTCTTTTGCACAATATACAATAAGTGATCCTCATGTGCTATTTATTAAACTAAACTCAGTAAGACCAGACAATGATTTTCAATAGAAATTTATCATCTTCCTCTACCAGAAACAGATGCTATTTGGAGTCACAATGGCTAGGGGTACAGGAGCCTTTAAGCATTAATTTGGAAGGGGTAAAAAATGCTTAACATCCTGCAATGTGTACAGTGGTGCCAAACCATGAAGAGTGATTCTAAATCAAAGTGCCAACAGTGTCCTTGCTGAGAAACAATGAGTGATCATTATAGCAGCCTAGGAGGGAGCTGATAAGAGCTTCTATTAAAATGGACACAATGATAGAATGTTCAAAGGAAAAAAAGAAAAGTTTATTCCATGGATGTGGTGGGGAGCAGGAGGGAGGAGGGTGTGGAATAAAAGAAAAAAATCCTATCTATTACAAAAATACAAAGGGTTGAACTTGGAGGGACTATGGCCATATGCACATCTAAGATTCTATGAATTATTTATAAGGGAGATTATAACAAAGCATTATAACAAAGCATGGACTTTCAAGTCAGACAGATGTTTATTTAAACCAGCTCTTCCACTTACCAGTTGCTGATACCTCAGGCAAAATAACCACAACATCTAGCACCACATACTTGGCAGACAGTGGTGGTAATAAGTGATATGGTAGCAGTAGTTCATACTAAAGTAAAATATAAGATTTCTAGCCTGCGAAGAAAGGGTGGAACCACAGAGAGAAATGGGAGCAGTTTATAAGTTGGAGCTTTCAAGTTTCATTTTGGACATACTGAGTTTGAGGCAACCACACTCTATTCAAATGGGAAGTAATGGGAAGTGGGAAAGATGGGAACTGGTATCAGCTTAAACATGGGAGTCTGAAGTCCCCTCATAAAGGAAGTAGTGAATCCACAGAAATGATAAGCTCTCTGCCAGGATGTAGAGAGAAGACAGAGACTTCAGGGCAGAGGTATGATGGCAGCCCACAATAAGGCACCTGAAAGAGGATATTTCAAGAAAGAAGGTGAGGAAAGTAGGAACAAGCGCCCAATATTTTACAAACAGGGTAGTAGTAGTAGCAGAATAATAATAATAATAATAATAATAATAATAATAATAATAATAATGGAAAGTATTAAAAATGCTTGATACTAAGCTACGGCTGAAGGCACAAAACTCAAGTCCAGTAGGGAAAAGTGTTAAGTAAATTACTGTGTGTGATAAACACTCTGATAAGAGATGTGTGTAGTTTTACAGCAGCACAAAACACAGGGCGCATATGCCATTCTGGGTGATCAAAGCAATCACCCCAGGCAAAGATGTCACAAAGAACTCACCCAACAGAGAGGTGGGTGAAACACACACTGGGCAGACCAACACATACACAAAAAGTGACAAAGTGCGACAGGATCAATATGGTGTGGGTTAGGCAGTTCAATGGAGTGGAAGTAGAACACTGTGATTAAGCTAAAGAAATAAAGAGGAGCCAATGAGAACATGAGTGCATATTCAGGGTCGTTAACCATGAGATCAGAAAACGCATATCAAAACCATAATGAGGTACCACTTCATCCCCAGTAGGATGATCCAAAAACAAAAACAAAAACAAAAACAAAAAAACAAACAAACCACAAAACAGGCCATGTCAAGGGTCGGTAAAAATATGGAGAGATTTGCAAACTCATACACAGCTGGTAGGAATGTAAAATTCTGCAGTCATTTTGGAAAAGCAGCAGTTTGGCAGTACATCAAAAGGTTAAACAAAATGTGGTATATCTATACAACGGAATGCTATTCAGCCAGAGGCTGGTGGCGTGGGAGGTGACCGCTAATGTATTTCTTTTTGGACTCAGGAAATGTTCTAAAAGTAAAATGGCCATGGCTGTACAACTCTATACATATGTTTGTTTGTTTGGTTTTTTTTTGTGGGACCCTCGCCGGTGACTGGGGATCGAACTGGTGCTGCAGAGGCTGCGGGCAGCCTTGCAACCCAGCGCTCAACCTCTGTGCCACCAGGGGAGGCCCTCTATACATATGTTAAAAACCACTGAATTGTACATGTAAAATGAATTGATTTTATGGGATGTAATTTACAATCCAATAAAAGTATTTAATAAATAAGGACAAAGTAGGGCAGTGACTGCATATGACTGTTTTATATGCCAAGTTTAGATATTTGGGATTTCTACTGCATTAAAATGAGGCACCCCCGTAGGACTCAACTTAAAGCAGAGCTGAAATTACTGAAACATAAAATTCTTGAACACATGCTAATTAATACTCTTTAGCATCAATCAAAACCCGTTATTAACAAGCACAATATACATGAATGAGGAGTAAATTGGCCGCTGACCCGCCTGGAAAGATAACCCATCATATGAATAAAAATCAAACACTTCAGTTGAGAAGGCAGAATATCATAGCTATTAACTAACTAGTACTCCCTTTAATTTTAAGGGCAACTTTCAGATAATTAAAATGCTCAAATTGCCATGAGTATCTAATGAATACATATTTGGAACAAATTTTGAAGAACATAAAACTAAATAGCTAAATGATGTTAGCAAACTTTTATGAAAACTTAAGATTTAAGTTACAAATTCCAGAAAGATACTCACGAGAAGAAATTTTAGTTCTCTGTGAAGATGATTCAAAGGACCTCTGGGTTCTCCTGATTCCACTTTAATATTCTAAAAAAAGTTCTCAAAGTTAGTTTTCATTGGTATTCCCATCTTCTCAACACATGAGTCATAGTTATTTGCATTTTAAACTATCCATACATTAGAAAATTTATTTCATGAAACACTGATGAACCGATACATCTTATCTAGAGACACCTAGATTCTTCCCATGCCATATCAGTGACTACATCCTCTCTATATACCACAATTGTACCTACGTGGAACTGCCTGCCTTGCATGACATCCTGCCCCTTCCCATTGAATTTCCAAGAGGACAAGTAGAAGAAATATATCTTAAGACTCAACAACAAATGTAGTATAACCACACACTAAAAATAAAACATCTAATAAATAATAAATGTTTACTAGATTCCTATCTAAATCAATAGTATGTTGTCTAACCTACAGGTCAAAGTTTGACAACCCTAAGATCTTAAATAGAGGAGGTGAAAACCAGAGGAGGTGAAAGAATGAAGAAAAAAGTAAATGCCTGTGTATTACTTATTTGGGGGAAAAAAACATTAAAAATATAATTATCCATAATTATGCTGAAGAAATCTCTATTAACACTATACAGGTTTCTGTGTACACATTTTTTAAAAAATATAGTTGATATCCTACTCTAAATACAATTTTTTACTTTTTCCTTTTGTTTGCTTAATAAACATTTCTTATTATTTTAAAGTCTCTTAATACATTACTTTGAAGAATGCATATTTATTGCATCATGGAAATCTACTTCAATCATTTCCCTAAAGAATGCTCAAGTTTTATTTTTAATATTTTGAAAACACAGCTGTATCACTGCATTGAATATCTTTTTACTTTTTTTTTTTGCAATTCTGATTAATTTTTTTAAAGATTTATTTATACAAGAACCGGGGTACAGGCCAGATGCACGGGAGGGTGAGAGGATTCACCAGAGACAGAGCAGGGAACAGAACAGGCAGACTGACGAAATACACTGCTCAAGGGAGAAGCAGGTGAGACAGGAGAGGTCTGCCGCACCACGTGGGACTCTCGCCAGCTGGCCGGGATCGAACTGGCGCTGCTGAGGCTGTGGACAGCTTCACAGTGCTGTGCTCAAGCGCCAGCACCAACAGGGGAGGTCCAATTCTGATTAATTTTGGAAGACAGAGTCCCAGAAATGTAAATAGAGGGTGAAAGGATTTATACTATTAAGGATTCTGATGTGTGCCAATATCTGCACTCTTTTAAGAATAGCAGAGACAAGTCACTGAGATTTTTAACTGAGTTCCAACTCAAGAGAATTTATTAACCACTGGAAATTTCTAAAGTTACATAAATTACATAATTGCAGTTCTGTGGGCAACTGACAGATTAGGCAGATCAGTCCCTGATCATCAGCTGTGCAGCAAGGGCTGGGACTGGAGGCCCACAGCTCCAGCAATTAGCAAGTTTAAAGTAAACCCATAATGGATAAATTCAACAGAAAAAAGGCTTGGCTCCTACCAGAGTTGCAGTTGAAGAAAGTGGAGGAATTTGAAGAATCTCGTCCACAGCACTCCAGGCAATATCCAAAGTGATCACAGTCTGTGATGCGGCAACAGTCTCGTCCAAGGCAGTGGACTTAAAGAGCTCATACTGAGCAAAGCCCTTGGCTGCTACCTGAAGAGAGCACCAGCGGACCGTAACCATGCATTCACAAGCCAAAGGCCTATTACCCAAACTGCTTTGCTTATTTTCCCAAAAGAAAAAAAGTACCATACTTTTATCACAAAATGGAAAATCAGACAATTATTTTTAATCACAAGGATTGGCTAAAAGGAAAAAAGGAATACATTTTTAGTCATTAGTTAATATGAAAATAAATACAAAGATCGTGATACTATAGTAAAATATTTAATCACATTTAGAGTGAAAATATCCTTTAGCTAGAAGGCTGATAAAAATCAAAAAATAGATATGAGTAAAAAGGAAATACTTACAGTAGATGAATGATGCCTATTCTTGTGTGAATTTTTTAATTCTTCAAGATTTACAGAATAATTTTTGTCAGCTATAGAACATGAAAGGAAGAAAAAAAATCAGAGGTACAACTCAAAATTACATTGTTAGAGCTAGAAAACTGAAATTCCTAAAATGCAAAGGATATCACAACTTAACACTAATAATAGCCAAAATTAAACTTTAGCTGAATGAAATGTTTATGAAACAATGGAAGTGGAATAAAAGTTAATATTTGTTAAATGCCTATAAATACAATTAAATTCCCATAAGATTAGAGTTATATTATCATTAGAGTCAGTATTTTGTCCTCCAGAAAATTTCCAACAACACACACATATAAATCAAATATAACCCAAATAGGGCCTCCCTGGTGACACAAGGGGTTAAGCACAGCACTATGAAGCAATCTGCAGCCTCTGAAGCAAGAGTTCAATCCCCAGCCGGCCAGGGAGCAACCCACATGGTACAGCAGACCTCTCCTGTCTTACCGGCTGCTCCCCTCAGCAGTGTATTTCGGTCAGTCTGCCTGTTCTGTTCCCCACTCTGTGTCTGGTGAATCCTCTCACCAACCCCCAGCACCCCAAATATAAGAGCCATAAACTCCAGTCTTTTGCAGATGTTTCTGGTGTTCCCAAAACATCTCCTACATTCTGTAAGTAACACACTAGAATAGATTCACAGTAGCTAATACAATTTCTACTGCATGTACTTCTCTCTTAAAAATTATCAATTTTCAGTAAAAACCATAACAAATAAATATACATACATATATCCATAAATGTAAAAGAGTGCGCTCTTACCTTTACAGCTGACCACATATAAGACAATTCCTGTAACGCTATTATTTGTTGTAATAAGCTCAGCTCCTAGCCAACAGGTATCTTCAGGATCTGAAGCATCACACCTTACCCAAAGAGGAGGAAGGACAGTAACTGGCCGATTAATCTTCAAATGGGTCATATTAGGATTGTGAGCTATGGTATAAAGTCCAATTAACTGTCTGAAAACAAGAGCAGAAAGAATAAATTATAGGGAGAGACTGTCTATCAGTTCAAGAGTTTTCTTTCCCAAAGATATAAAATACCTCCTAGAAACAAAAACCTGGAAATTATGTGGCACAAAATATGCACATAAATATTTCACCCAGTAGGTAGGAGAGAGCACATCAGGCAGATCAAGATACATGCACCAGAAAAGTCAGAGTATGAAAGGATCAGAGCTACTATAAGCTGGAGAACAACAGGGTAAGGGTAGAAATCCTATGGGAGTAGAAGTGGGTTGTGAGATTAAGCTAAAGAAATGAATGTCATGTCAAATGACATGTCAATTATATTTCAATAAAGCTGGGGGGTGGGAAAGAGAAAGAAGCAGGAGTCAAAAACATAAAAAGATGCTTTAGTCATTAGTCATTGGGATATTTAAGGAAACTTGAATATGAGGTGGGAATTAGACAAAAGGATTGAAACAGTGTTAAGTTTCCAGATTTTGATCAGTGTTCTGTGGTTATATAAGAGAATGCACTTGCTCTTAGGAAATGTACAGTGAAATATTTAGAGATAAAGAGGCACAATGTCTCCAATATACTGTCAATATTTCATTAAAAAAATTGTGTGAGATATATGTATATTACATGTTTGGGGCAATGGGGAGGTGGAGGGAGAGTAAGAGAAGGACAAAGCAGACCCAGGAAATGTAAACAATTGGGAATCTGGGTTAAGGATATACAGAAGTTCTTGTACTTTTCAAGTATCTGTTCTGTAAGTTTGAAAGTATATCAAAATTAGTTATCCCAGAATGTGGCTTACTTTTTTTTTTCAAAGCCATGTGAAACTAAATTTATTCCCAACAGATGTTCAGGAAAGGAATTTCTAAGGGACTGTACTTCAATAAGAAAATATAATAATCCCAGAAGGACAGTCTGTAATGCAATAAGAAATAGAGAGCAAAGAAATGTTAAGCATACGAATCAATCCAAACAAACACTGGCTGGAGTCAAACAAAAAAATAATGCTTACATTGTAGAGAAAAGAAAAAAGGCAAAATATAACTTAAAATCAAGAAGCCATGAAAGAAAACTAATTCATGTAAGTACATAAAACAATTTTAAAGCTTCTACATAGCAAACAAAACCATCATGAGGAATAGTCACTTTGTGAAGTTATTATAGCTGTTATTTTCTAATGTTATTTATATAATCATATTCTCCAGAACTACTTGACAGCAAGAATTTTTTGGTTTTGGAGGTGGCAGAGGGGGCAGTGAGGATAACGGGACAGAAGGAAATGCATTAGGCAAGCAGGGGAAGGCAGACAAAGACAGCAGGGATCCTAACTGGGGGCAGTACAGGTATGAAGGTGGGATAATTCCTTTTAGTGCAGGAGAGCCCTAAACAGTACAGAACGTTTACTATCCATGGACCAGGCCAATAGCTCCCTTAGTCATTGTAACAACCAAAAAGTATCACTGCACATGGTACCACTAGACTAGACAAAAAATGCTCCTGTGTGTTACTCATAAAGAATCTGGAGTTTATCACGAGGCAACAAGAACTACTTAATGTCACAATCATGCTTTCATTTTACAAAGATCACTCTGGTGGCAGTGAGGAAGAAAGACCGGAGGGGAGCCAGATGAGACACAAGGAAAACTACTAAGAAGCAATACCAATAAATGGTATAGGGGAGCAGAGAGAGGGAAGATCATCACCACAGCTTCCCAGGTCATGTTTGGATACATGTGGGACATGCAAGTAGAGCTATCCTTAGAGAGTCGGGTACACACATCTGGGGGGAGTGAAATCTTTGGGTTATATATGTATCTTTCCCAATGTTTACAAAAATACCTGCCATCACTACCCCTACTCCTACTCATGCCACAAAAAAACCTTACCTTGCTCTCCCAACTGGTAAAGGAAGTGGTCCAACAGTCTCACCAGTAGAAAAATCAGAAATAGCAGTTTCTTCAGATGGTAGTTCTTCAATATGACTTGCTTCTTCCTTTTCTAATGGCTTTCAAAATGTTTTAAAATTATTTAACCAGATAAAGAGCACTTAAGATAGTCAACTATTCATGTGTGAGACCTTAATGTCCTGATTTCTGAATCCTTAAGCCCAAATGACTGAATTGTGGCAAGAATCATCGCTACAAACCAGTCTGGTGCCAACAAATCTTGCCATAGGAAGCATTTCCACTGTCCTTTAAAAAGATACTAATGTATGCTACTATTGATAAAGGAAGCATCTGATGTCATTAAGAAAATGAAGTACCTCAATATGCACAAAATGATGACCTCAAGATAAATTACCAAAGAACCATAGGACACTCCCAGGTTTTGCTGACAGGTTTTTACTCCTTGAACTCAAGCATTCTTTACAGGCTATGACCATAGCTCTACAGCCCTTATGTCTTAAATCTCTACTGCTCTTAGGGCTATCAGCTTTTGTGTTACAAAAGTTCCATATCTATGTGCTTACAAAGTAGTTAAATAACGATCTAGCCAATAACAGTAATAGTAAGAGTTAATACTTCTTGGGGCCTCCCTGGTGGCACAGGGGTTAAGATGCAACCTATGAAGCAAGCTGCAGCCATTGCAGCACGAATTCTATTCCAGGCCAGGCAGGGAGCAACCCATATGGCACAGCAGACCTCTCCTGACTCACCCGCTGCTCCCCTCAGCAGTGTACTTCAGTCAGTCTGCCTGTTCTGTTCCCCACTCTGTCTCTGGTGAATCCTCTCACCCTCCATACCTCTGGCCTATACCCCAGCTCTTGTATGCATAAATAAATAAATCTTTTAAAAAAAAGTTAATATTTCTTAATCTAAATGGTGTTACAGCTACTATTCTAAGTTTTTTTCTATTTTTTTTTTTTAAAGATTTATTTTCATTTATACAAGAACCGGGGTACAGTCCAGATGCGCAGGAGGGTGAGAGGATTCACCAGAGACAGAGTGGGGAACAGAACAGGCAGACTGATGAAACACACTGCTGAGGGGAGCAGTGAGTGAGACAGGAGAGGTCTGTTAGCCATGTGGGTTGCTCCAAGGCTGGCGGTGATCAAACCGGCACTGCCTGCGCCACCAGGGATGCCCAGCTTTTTTCTATTCTTCATAAAATATCTGAGATAGGTACTATTATTAACCCTGTTATACTAGTATAACTTAGGTAGACATACTATTATTTATACTACATAAACTTGTTATTTAGACAAGTTCTTTCTACTTTTTATAATTTTTTAAATCTTTTAAAAATTTTTATATACATTTTTTACATCATTTTTCATTTTTATACAATGGATGCATTTTCATCTTGGTTATAGCCCCCATACAATTCCCACCACCCTTGTTGTGATCTTACTCCCTTCTCCCCCACTCACCCTCCTGTAGTGTTTCTGGTTTATAGTTGCTTGTTGATTTTGATTTTTACTTTATTATAATTAGTCTTTTTCCTGATCCCTTATTTAGGTTTTCTAAATTCCTGCTATGACTGAGACCATCCGGTTTTTTTCTTTTTCTTTCTGGCTTATTTGACTGAGCATGATCCCTTCCAGCTCCACCCATGTTGCTGCAAATTGCATGAGTTTATCTTTTTTAATTGCTGAGTAATATTCCATTGTGTATATCTACTTTTTTTTCTTTATTATTTCTAACTCAAGGCTAAATAACTTGACTAGAGTCAGAGTTCTGACTAAGTGGCAAAGCCACAGCATCTGAATCGAGGTGATCTAAACTCAATTTCTTCTCCATTTAGCTTTTCTGGCAGTAAATACTCTAATCATTTAATAGATCTCAGACGTAGATGTTTCCACTGTCTTTAAGCAGATTCCAAATTTCACTCCCTTTCCAGATCTGGCTTTTGGAACAGTTCCCAAAATTAGAGATACTCGTGAAATGTCAATTTTTTGCCCCTCTGTTTACTTTTCAATACTCAACTATGGAAGCTTCATGCTTTAAGTTCTACTAATCTTTGTAAAACTAAAGTAATTTTAATTGTTCTCCATTCAAAAATGCCAGAGCCTCACTGCATTCCAGATAACTCTTTTCAAGTCCAAGCTGCATTCTCACTAACCCACATTTTCATAAATCCCTTCTGCTTATCCTTTTTAAAAAAAGATTTATTTTTATATATTTATGCATACAAAATCTGGGGTATAGGCCAGAGGTGCAGGGGGTGAGAGGATTCACCTGAGACAGAGTGCTGCAGAACAGGAGGATCTACTGAAATACAGGTGCTAAGGGGAGCAGCAGGAGACAGAAGCAGTCTGCTGCATCAAGTGGTTTAGCTCCCTGGCTGGGTATTAAAGTCATACTGCAGTGGCTGGTGTTAGCACTGAGACTTAAAGCCCTGCACCACCAGGGAGGTGCCTCCCCTGCTTATATTTTTCCCCAAGATATCTCATCTTTATCTACCCATCTTAATTTTTCCACCTTTTGCTCCACATACATTTCCCCTTCTTCTCATAACAAAAGTCTACATTCAATCACATAATTCACCTATAATTATTTTCTAAGCATCTGCACATGATAAATAAGCAGTAATAACATCCTTCCATTAATGTAAGACAAATAAAGTAGCTCCCCTTCTCAGGATAGTTTTTGTATTTGTATATATAAAATAAAGAGAAGTCTATTCATCTATCAATAAGAGTGAGGAATCTTTATAAAAGGGGTGCACTTACCCCTACCTACTTCAGGAAACAATGAAATCACATGAATAGGTCCTGGCCCTAAAGCAACTGGATAATATAATTACCATCACTCAATAAACCCAGTAAAAGTCACGATAATTGTTCACCAAAATAGTTACTATAACTAAAACACAAAGGCTTAAGTTTGCAATTATAAAGTGATAGAAAAATTAAGAAGTCCCCTCTTGTTACATTTAACAGTCCAAAGTTAAAGTAGAACTTCATTAGTCATAGCTAATGTATGGTGTTCAGTATAGTAGCCACTCGCCACATATGGCTATTGAGCACTTGAAATCTAGCAAGACCTAACTGACATAAATGTAAAACACACTAGATTTGGAAGATGTAGTATGGAAAAAAGAACTTCAAATAGCTCAATATTTCTGTATTAAGTAGCTACTGAAATGATGTTAAATTTGTTAGAGTATTAAATAAAACCATTATTAAACCTAATTTCAGACCCAGCAATCCCTATTCCTAGTTAGTTATAAAACATATGCTCATACAAAAATCTGTACAAAAATGATCACAGTAGCTCTATTCATGATTATTAAAGACTGAAAACAATCCAAACACCCTTCAAAGGGTGAATGAATAAATTGTGGTATATCTATACCATGGGATACTCCTCAGCAATTAAAAAGAACCATTAATAAGCACACAAGCTTAATAAATTTCAAAAGCATCATGTTAAGTGAAAAGGTTACACACTGAATGGTTCCATCCATTATCTTAAAAAGACAAAACTATGGTGAGAAAGAGATCAGTGGTTGCCAGGGAATAGCAGTTACAGGATGGTATGTTTTAAAAGGACAGGGAATTTTATTTACATATATGATTCACATATTTTTTTTTTAAGATTTATTTATTTATGCATACAAGAGCTGGGATGCAGGCCAGAGCTGCAGGGGGTGAGAAGATTCACTGGAGACAGAATGGGAAGCAGAACAGGCAGATCTACTGAAATACACTGCTAAGGGGAGCAGCAGGCGAGTCAGGAGAGGTCTGCTGCGCCATGTGGGTAGCTCCCTGGCTGCGGATAGCTTCATAGGTCACGTCTTAACCCCTTGCGCCACCGGAGAGGCCCTGATTCACATATTTCTATTGTAGAAATATTCACATATTTCTATTGCACTTAAACCTAAACAAAGTACAGTCCACTTTCCCTGTAAATGTTGATTTTTAAAATGTGTGCATTTGAGATTATTCCCAATAAACCAAGTTTGGCTATTAAGAAATAAGTAACCGCAAAGCCCAAGCATTACTTACCACTTTTTCCACAATAAATACTATGTCATTTTCATCGAGAACATTTTTCAAAGGGTTTGGCTGGCCTTTGCTGAGCAACTGCACTTGGACATCAGCCTATTAAAAATAGGTAAGGTCAAACAATGTTATATATGCCGACATATATATTTGTACAAACATTTAAAAACACAAAGACCAGTTCTATGCAAATAACTAGAAAAAGGAATTTGAATATGTTTTAAGAAAGTTCATGTGTTTGTTGCTCATGTTGTTTTCACATTCAGAAATTCTACTTCCTATATCTTGTATCTATATATGCTTCAAGGCTAATCTAAAGTGTACACTGCCTTGTAAAATCTTCTTTCAATTAGGATCACACTGACATTTTCTGCCTATACTTATATCTATTGTTATGCATCATAAAATTAGCACTTTGCTAAATATCATTTCTTCTAATTGTACTATGAAGTTAGAACTTTAATATATCAGCCTATAGGAACTGCATGTTTATTGCAGAAAGTATGAAAGTAAATTGGCTAGATTTTTTTATAATAATTTTTTTTTAAGATTTATTTAAACAAGAACCGGGGTACAGGCCAGATGTGCAGGAGGGTGAAAGGATTCACCAGAGACAGAGTGGGGAACAGAACAGGCAGATTGACTGGAATACACTGCTGAGGGGAACAGCAGGAGAGACAGGAGAGGTCTGCCGTGCCATGTGGTTATCTCTGCGGCCGGCGGGGCTTGAACCAGCACTGCAGAGGCTGCGGACAGCTTCACAGAGCCACGTTCAACTGCCTGCACCAACACGGAGGCCCTAGAAGAGATGTTTTTGAAACTCACCTTTAATTTTGTAACCCAGGATAATCCTTATTGTTGTAAGTCTGGCTGGTATATATCTTATATGCCAGATTTTTTTCTAGGCATTAAATCTATTTAAATTGAAATGTATCTGTCATTTAGATAACTATATATAGCATTTTGCTTAATAAAAATATTTCTAATAGTTTTATATCATGAACTTCTTTCCACACTATTAAATGTTCTTTGGCTATCTAGTACAATGGCTCTACTATCATAGAACTAATTTCATCATGCTCGACATGTGGGTAGTTTCAAGTCATTTGTTGTAATAAACAATTGATGCTTATTAGACAGAAATTTAGAGAATAGACTTAGACACACAGGGAGATGTCATGTGTCCATGGAGGCAGAGATTAGAGTGCTATCTCCACAGGCTAATAAACAGCAAGGACTGCTGGAAATCATGAAGAGTTGGGAGACGACAGGAAGAATTTTTTTTTTAATTTTTTTATTTTTATATTTCCCATACAATTGCACCCCCACCTTATTTTGACCCCAATCCCTCCTTTAAGAATTCTTTCTTAGAGCCTTCAGTGGGAGCTTAGCTCATCTTGACTCCAGTATCCAAAAGTGTGAAAGAATTTCTCAAAGTTTAAATAAACCAGTATGTGGTACTCTGCTAGGGCAACCCTAGGAAATGAATATGGGTTATCAAGAGACAAGAATTCAGATAGGCAAATTGCTATCCAAATTTACCTGGATATACCTAGTTTCTGAGTTTAGGTTAGAAAAAATTCAGAGAGTGAGAGATAACTATATTTGTATTTTTTTCCCTGTGACCTCTTATTTGTATACTTTGCTTATTCTGTTATGTTTGCCTTTTTGCATATTGATTTCTAATAACTTTTTCTGTATTTTATAGACACTAGTACTAATCTTTATCATTTATACCTATTCTCCACAGCTTGTCTTTTAGTATATAATTTTATTTTGCTAATTATTTTATGAATGTGGGTTTATCTTCCCAACTATGGGGCGTTTACCTATAGAACACTTGGTATCTATTAGATGCTTAATAAATTCATGTTTATAGCAGTATTATTCAAGATCTGGCAATAATCCAAATGTCCATCAACTGGTGAATAGATACCCAAACTGTAGCATATCCATAAAATGGAATACTATTCAGAAATAAAAAAAAGAACGAATTAGGGATCACGTAACAACATAGGTGAAACTCAAATGCATTATACTACTGACTGAAACCAGACCCAAAAAGTTACATACCATAGATTTTACATGACATTCTACAAAGGAAAAGACAGAAAACAGAGATAGAAAACAAATTGGTGATTGCCAGGAACCAGGAGTAGGGTAAAGGGTTGATTATAAAAGAATATGAGATTTTTTTTTGAGACGATAGAAATGTTCCATATCTTGATTATGGGGATGGTTTAAACAACTGAATGAATTTTTACAAATGCACAAAACTTACTGAACTGCACTCTAGAAAAGTGACGTTTTATTTTATGTAAATTAACTTCAATAAATCTAGCTTAAAAAAATTTACAACTTTAGGGTCTCCCCGGTGGCGCAGCAGGTTTGGCGCAGAGCGCAGTGCACTGTGAAGCTGTCCACAGCCTCTCTAGTGCAGGTTCGATTCCCCGCCAGCCAGGGAGATTCCCACACCGCGAGGCAGACCTCTCCTGTCTTGCACACTGTTCCCCTCAGCAGTGTATTTCAGTCAGTCTACCTGTTCTGCTTCCTGCTCTGTCTCTGGTGAATCCTCGCACCCTCCCATGCCTCTGGCCTGTACCCCAGCTATTGTATAAATAAAAAATAAATCTTTAAAACAAAAATTCACTTTAGAATTCTTGAGTTAAATTTAAAAATCAAATAAAGTATAAATACCTCATAGATAAAAGGGTCTTTATAGATTCCTTTCTTTTCTTCATTAAGTTCCCTGAAATGCAGAACAAGTAAAAAAATTGAGCTATAGCATTCTGTCATTTAAATGCACCAATTAGTCACCGCTTTATCTCTGTACGACACCAGTGTGAAAAGCAAAACACAAAGCATTCATGGCAACCTTAAGATTTAGTGGGATAAAGGAAAAAAAAAAAAAAAAAACAGAAAAAGCATATAAGGGTAAAAAGAAAAAAGAGGGCCTCCCTGGTGGTGCAAGGGGTTAAGCACCGCATTATGAAGCAATATGCAACCTCTGCAGCATGAGTTCAATCCCCGGCTGGCCAGGGAGCAACCCACATGGTGCAGCAGACCTCTGCTGTCTCTCCCGTTGCAGCAGTGTATTTCAGTCAGTCTGCCTGTTCTGTTCCCCACTCTGTCTCTGGGGAATCCTCTCACCCCTTGCAGCTCTGGCCTGTACCCCAGCTCTTATATGCATAAATAATAATAATAATAAAAGACAAAAGAGATATGGTCGAGATTAACAGACTGCTACCCACAATTGTGTTAATTGCTTCTAAGAGGCAGCAGGACATCTACTTATATCTTTTCAAACACACCAGCAGTTGCTATTAAAATGTAATTTACCCCGTGACTGTTGGGAAGTAAAAATTACTGGCCTCTGACCTGCTACTGAATCAGTGGAGAAGCTATTTAAGGTATCCAGGTCTTAGATTTCTATGGCTAAAATGGAAGGATCTATTCTCCTGGTATTTTTATGAGTTGTTACTAAAAACTAGTAAATTTGATGACAGAAACTACAAACGTAATTACTAAACTTGAGAATATTACTTAAAAAATTTAAAATAGTGATCCCAAAGCAAGTAAACTATAAACCATTAACATACTATTAATAAAATGTCCTTCAGTCGGATATAAACTCTGAAAATGAATCTTCAGAGTCCTGAAGGAATCCATTAAAATTGTTTCGGGACGTCATTTTTTTTTTTCTTAAATTATTCATTCTTATATTTTATTTTTTTTTAAGATTTGTTTATTTATTTGTACAAGCACTGGGTACAGTCAGAAGCGCGGGAGGGTGAGAGAATTCACCAGAGCCAGAGCGGGGAGCAGAGCAGGCAGAAGGACCGAAGTACACTGCTGAGGGGAGCAGCGGGCGGCAGGAGAGGACTGCGCGCCATGTGGGACCCTCCTCTGGTGGCCGGGGAGCAGCCGGGGAGCAGCCGGGGAGCAGCCGGGGATCGAACCGGCGCTGCAGAGGCTGCGGGCAGCTTCGCAACCCAGCGCTCAACCACTGCGCCACCAGGGAGGCCCTCGGGACATCATTTTTTGAAAGAAAAATGGGAGGGCTATAGCTGTAATTAATTCACTTTTGTCATTTTGGGTAGATCGAGACTTAGTCTTCAAAACATTTGTCTTTTATGTGTAGCTGAAGGATGTCAGTCATTCATTTGACAGTCATTTCCCAAGCATGTGTGTCATAGGCAGGCACTATTACTAGATGTCCAGGATATAAAACAAGAGCATAGATCCTGGCTCACAGTCTTGAATAGAGTCCAACAAGCAAAACAACTGTTACAACACAGGCTGATGCATGTGTGTTCCAACAAAGATATGCAGGGTGCCGTGGTGGCATAACAGAATAGATTTTGCTATAGGACCTGAACTTCAACCCGAAAGCTAAAAGGAACTCACTAAAAGATTTTAATGGGAAAGATCTCTCTGACAGTAATGGAGGGTATAAAGCTGAAGACCAGGAACAGAGCTGTGAATAATTAGCAGTACTTCTGGGGAAGTGATGATGGCCTTAAGAAAAGCAGTTGGATAGAATGAAAAACAGTTTAGCAACTGACTATAAGGAATGGGAGTGGAGGAGGGGAGAAAAGGAAGTGAAAACTGGATTTGGAACTCATTTCAGACAGGGTATTCAGAATAGAATGTGAGATTGCACGGGAAGAATTTAGTTTGGGAGATAATGAGTTTGAGGTCTCAAGTGGAAACTGCCAGTAGGCAACTAAATACACAGGCACTGTGTGGGAATCAAAACAAGACAGTTTTGGTGCCTACAAGTGAAGAAAAACACTAACATAACTGGGAAACATGAAAGATTCTAAACAAAGTTGTAACAAGAGGGGACTGGTTAAACAAACATAAAACAGTCAAAGAAAGAAAAAACTTATACAGCAGTGAAAAATGAGATGATCAATAAGCACTTGTACTGTAAGCTATCCAGGTCCTTGTCAGTTTAAAAAAAGTTCCTGCTTCCTATAGTGTTCACAAGCACTATCACTTTCCTCACCCGATAAAAGCAATAATGAAAAATCATGGTATTTAACCACATCAGTGGTTCTCAGTCAAGCCAGCAGCATTTGTTTCATCTGGATTTTGTTAGAAAGGCAAATTATTTGGCCCCACACAGACCAATTAAATCAGAAACCCCGGAGATGGGGCCCAGCAATCTGTGTTTTGACAACCTTCCAGGTAATTCTGACGCAGGTCAAACTTGAGAAGTACTAAATTATATCTTTACATTGGATGCAAGAAATAGAACCCCCTTTCACAACTAGCACTTCACTAGAAGAATAGAATGAAGTCTTAGAGCACAGTAACACAGAGGTGCTTTGAAAAATCTGCACACCATCAACATCATCGTTGCAACTGCAGCTCATACACTATCTTCAAAAGACTCTAACAATATTTTTCATACCGGCAAGGCTTTAAATAGGCGAAGGACGACAACATCTAGTTTTTCATTCCTGGGTGGTCCTTCTAGCCAATGGCCAGTTGTGCCCATTATCAAAATGAAAAAAAAGAGCCTGTTGGAAAACTTGTCATTTTCCACCTGTCACCTTTCTCGATCGACAACGCCTCCTGAGAGACTCCACGCGAGCGCCCACTCGCCACCCTCACTCCACAGCCGAGGGCCGGCGCCTCTCCAGCGCCAGGACCCCAGGAGAGGCGACTCCCATGCACATCCTGTGCTGTGAACAGGCTTATCCCCAAAGCTATGGCTGGGACCAAGAGTCCCCACGGGAGAAGAGCCGCCCGCGGACCCCAGCCGACAGCAGGGGCTATAACTCACTGCAGGAGTCGAGCGTAAAACTCCTCAGCAGCTCGGTTCACTCGCGACCACATCCCGCCCAGGTCTGTCGGCAGCTCCCAAACCGCCAAACTGAACTTGGCGCGGGACGCTGACGTCCGGGGTCATGACCCCTAGCCGGACTACTTTACCACCACCACCCCGCAATGTCCCGTTGGTCCACAAAGTTAAATTTCTGTTTTTAGGGTACATGACAGTTTGACTTGTCGCTAGAGTTTCCCATTCCCCTCAGAAGAAGTTTAAATAAGCTGCTTCGGGGGCATGAGACGCCACATCTCGCGAGAGTTGGCACGCCTCTTGTGGATTACTCCGCGAAAATGAGTCCCTCGTCTCTAAGCTCGATTGTAGGCTTTGGCGTCAATAAATTCAGAAATTTGGCGCATATGAAGAAACAATATGTTATTTTAATTTTTTCTGACTGCTAAAGAGAGATTTGTGGTCTCTTGGTTGGTTCCAAGGCGGAGCAGCGTCAGGGCTCGGCTGAGGGTTACATATAGAGCTGCAGTGCTAAGTCCTTCCTTTTCCTGTGGGAGCCGCCGGGCCGGGAGGAGCGTGGCTCTCTCCTCTCCCCGACATGGTGAGTGCGAGTTCGCTCGGCTGGACCGGTAGCTGAACTCGGGGCCCGGCGGGAATGGGTTGGGGCCTCCGGGAACTGGGGATTCTTCAACAGAGAGAGCGAAAAAAGGGAGATGAGCCCCGAAGGCGTCTATAGGTGCCGGGGCGCGGGGCAGTGCAACTACACGGCAGCCATTTTAGAGGCAACGTGGGCGTCCCCGGGACGTGGTTCGTGTGGAACCTACACAGGAGACACCACACCGCACACCTGTGCGGCCTTTGGGATCTGACTTAACTTGACTCTTAAGTGGCGTGGGGTCTGTCAAGGTTTGGAAACTCCTGGGGCCTAATACCGAACCTTTCACCGGAGTGAAAGTCTATTTTGGGCCTTGTGTCTCCATGTGCTCGTATGGAATTTTTCCATATTTAGAGAGCCTGTTAAAAAAAAACTTGATTGTACTTTTTTTCTAGAATGCGTGTAGATTTTTAGCTTAAGATCATCTTTATAATAATTGTTATATTGGTGTCCCCTAAGTCTTTGAACTAGCCAGTTTATAGTATGGCAAACGTTACAGGTAAAGCATTTCCATAAAAGTCACACGTTTCATTTAGTCATTTGTGCTGTTTGGTGAACAAAAACCAAAAAACACTACCCTTGTGATGCTTTAGAATTGAATTGCACTAATAAATAGTAATGTTAGATGGCAGTGAGTGCTGTGGACAGGAATTGGAGAGGAGGCCATGATTGGTCTGTCAACAGTGATGAGAGAAGGCGGCCTGGGGAGGTGAATGTGTTAAAAGAGCATCTTAAGTGAAGGCTTGCTATGGTCTGAGTGTGGGGAGGTGAAAGCATAGGGGAACCTGTAAAACCACCCTTTGGGACTTCAGTTTTTTATTTTTCAGATAGCAGGTGTTTGGAGAAGGTTGAGAGAAAAGTTACATGACTACTGCTTACAGTTACTGAGTTTTAGAAGGGTTAAAGGGGACAAGGATGGAAATTTGAAGAACAGCTCAGGTAGACAAGATTTCTTGATATTATGGAGTGAAAGTTTAAGATGGTGGTATAAAATAGCAATTTCAAACCTTACAGTATGGGTTTGAGTGTCCCATTTGCTGTAGAAGATCTGGTTTGAGAGTTTAATGGTAAATTACTTTCTTTGAAAATTTTGTGGACAAGCTTGAGGTTTTTCTAAGTGTCTTGCATATGTTAGTATATACTGAACTGAATATACCTGGTGATGTCTGGTAAACTTGGTTTCAGCTTTGCCTGCCTCACCAAACTTGTAACATCTCTATTGGCATTGTTGGTGTTGCTTGTTAATATAAGTAATTTTTCCCTTCTTTCTTCCAGGCGTGCGCTCGTCCATTGATATCTGTGTACTCCGAAAAGGGGGAGTCATCTGGCAAAAATGTCACCTTGCCTGCTGTGTTCAAGGCTCCCATTCGACCAGATATCGTCAATTTTGTTCATACCAACTTGCGCAAAAATAACAGACAGCCCTATGCTGTCAGTGAACTAGCAGGTATGGGTTTAAATCTTTCGGGGATTGATGTTTAAAGACTGCTTAACAGCAGTGATGAAATTCCACTCCTTTGGTCCGTGTTTCTGAACCATATGATTGTTCTGGATGTACTGATGCTGTTTCCTACCATGCATAATGGTCATAGATTGACTGGTATGGTTGGATGACTGAACTTCTTTACTAATTTCAGGTCATCAAACTAGCGCCGAGTCTTGGGGTACTGGCAGAGCTGTGGCTCGAATTCCCAGAGTTCGAGGCGGTGGGACTCACCGTTCTGGCCAGGGTGCTTTTGGAAATGTATCCTTTCTTTCACTACCTAGACTGGTTAACTTACAAAATTTAGCAAACTGGACCTGGCAAATCAAGATATTTGTATATTTGCTTAATTTGTATGTTTTGTTTCCAGAATTGTAATGGTGTCCTGATTAAATATTGCTCTAGATAGTTTTGAGACATAGAGTTTACCTTTAGGAAGTTTTGCTTGCAATGATGTCGTAATTTGCGTCTTACTCTGTTCTCAGTGACAGTTGCCTGCTGTCAGTAAGCTGGTACAGAAGGGTGACGAAAATTCTTACTGAGCAAGACAAAACCTTTTTTAATTCCTAAAACTTGAGAAATGTGATTCTTAACTGAGAAAACAGATGTGTCGTGGAGGCCGCATGTTTGCACCAACCAAAACCTGGCGTCGTTGGCACCGTAGAGTGAACACGACACAGAAGCGATATGCCATCTGCTCTGCCCTGGCTGCCTCTGCCTTACCAGCACTGGTCATGTCTAAAGGTTTGTGATTTGTTGCCCGTTTAATAATACTTTGTTGTTTCTATTCATCTGAGGACACCTAATAGTTTCCCTTTAATAATAGTTCTGAATACTTCAGCCTAGTGAGTCAGCCTTCGGTAAAGTGCCATTCAGTTGGGGAACTGATTCACATCCAATGATTTCATACACTGTTAGCAGACTTTGCACTTCGTCATTCCTTACTCTTAACTGTCAAAATGATGAGAGTCCACTTCATTGGTCCGTGTTTCTGAAACACATGATATTTGTGGAAGTCCTGATTTGGCAAGTTCTCCATTTTGCTATGCTTGGCTGTATGAAATGTTATTCAGTTTTTCAAAAGATTCAAGGGTAACTAAGTCAGTGTTAATTGGCTTTGTCAGGTCATCGCATTGAGGAAGTTCCTGAACTCCCTTTGGTGGTTGAAGATAAAGTTGAAGGTTATAAGAAGACCAAGGAGGCTGTTCTGCTTCTTAAGAAACTTAAGGCCTGGAATGATATCAAAAAGGTAGGCTTTGTTAGTACATTAGCCCTTTGGTTGTCTTCAAAAAAATGGGTGGACAGTATAACTCAACAGATAAGAAAGGCAAGGCTTTTTGAATTATGAGGAGCTAATCAATACAAAACCTTACTTTGCAGGTTTATGCCTCTCAGCGGATGAGAGCTGGTAAAGGCAAGATGAGAAACCGTCGTCGTATCCAGCGCAGGGGACCCTGTATCATCTATAACGAGGACAATGGTATCATCAAGGCCTTCAGAAACATTCCTGGTAATTCTCATTTTCTTACGTGATTTGATTACCCATACTGTTTTGCAAGCTCACTCAGCTTTTATTGTGATGAGATTCCACTCCATGGTCCGTGTTTCTGAAACACATGATTTTGTGGAACTTCTGATTCTTAGCTGAATATGAATGCAACATGGGTGATTGAAATGGCATAATGAATAAATTCTCGAGTGCCTCTTGTAGCACATAAGGATGATTAATGTTTCTCATGTGGAAATACAGGCTCCCTAATAATCATTTCCCTTTAAAAGGAATTACTTTGCTTAATGTAAGCAAACTGAACATTCTGAAACTTGCTCCTGGTGGCCATGTGGGACGTTTCTGCATTTGGACTGAAAGTGCTTTTCGCAAGTTAGATGATCTGTATGGCACTTGGCGGAAAGCTGCCTCCCTCAAGAGTAACTACAAGTGAGTGGATTTTTTGTATTCATACACATTTACTTAAATCTGGGTACATGCAGGATTGGTGTGCCTGTGTTCTATGTAATGGATTGTTGTGTTGCCATAAATTCTTAATGTGTGCAGTAAGCTGAATTGGTTAGGTATTCAGAGATGTGATGGTGTGTTGGGAATTCTGTTTGAATTCTGGGCACCTTAAATCATTTCCTTTGTTGAGGTTAATAATGTTCTTTAGTAATGGTATGAAAAGTAAGAATTGAGTCCTGAACATTTTCTCTTTGTTTCTTCAGCCTTCCCATGCACAAGATGCTCAATACAGATCTTAGCAGAATTTTGAAAAGTCCAGAGATCCAAAGAGCTCTCCGAGCACCACGGTAAATTTCTGATACTTATAGTGTAGTATAGTTCATCTCCCAGCCTCATACTATGGGTTATTTCCAAAATGTGTGTGACGTAAAAATAGAATTGATACCATGTCTGCTTTTTTATATATAGCAAGAAGATTCATCGCAGAGTGCTAAAGAAGAATCCATTGAAGAACCTGAGAATCATGTTGAAGCTGAACCCCTATGCGAAGACCATGCGTCGCAACACCATTCTCCGTCATGCCAAGAATGTAAGCAGTAATTAAATTTTTACTGATAAATGCTGAGTTTTTATAAAGATTTGGTCTTTAGGATTTCTTCCTGATTTGTTGCAGCACAAAATCCGCATGAATAAGGCAGCGGCGGCAGCAGCACAAGAAGCCAAATCAGATGAGAAGGGGGTTCCAGGCAAGAAGCCTGTGGTGGGGAAGAAAGGAAAGAAGGCTGTAGGTGAGAAGAAACCGAAAAAGCCTTCAGTGGGAAAAAAAGCTGCAACTACCAAGAAACCAGCAGCTGAAAAGAAGCCCACCGAAAAGAAACCCACAGAAGAAAGGAAGCCTGCTGCATAATCTTAAATTCGTTTATTCTATAAAGGGCAAATCACTTTGGACAGCTAAATTTGAATAAAGACTTGATCAAAGAGGCTGTGTAACACGTGACTTGTTGGATGTATTCTGTCGATCTTGGTTAGGCTTTTTTAAATGACACTTTCTGTAATTTTAACCTTTGTGTATTTCATTTTATAGTGTGATATAAAACAGCCTTCGTTATACTATATCCATGTAGTTGAGTGAGAGGAATGTTACAGAAGTCCAGATATAAAGTGCATTCTGTAAATGAGATGTCTTGTGGAACAGATGGTTAAGGATGTCTCACACACAATAGCTGTTTGAATTTAGTCAGCCACTTTGGAAAATAGTTATATGAAGAATTGACATTTTTAGTAACCACAAGAGGGCAGAGTAACTTTGAGGCACATTGGTGAGAAATGACTGGTTCCCTCTGAGAAGCACTGTACAACCTGCTGACAGAATGCAGTTATTGGAGGAAATGCCACCCTTATTAGTACTTTGACTCTTGGTAGGAAAATGCCAGAAGCATTTTTATATTTACAGTTTTAGTAGGGAATGAATGTTGGTCAAGCCTGATGCAGAGAAATGTGCCCAGATTCTTGTTTCCTAAGGCTTACTCTTACCATTTCATGCCTTGAGACATTTGAGTGGACCATAATAGGAAGTTCAAAACTGGGGTAGTCATGTAGTGCCCATTTGCAGGTTTAAGAGGTTTATTTGCATATGAAGGGTCCACATCTGCTTTATGCCCCTTAAATTGCCCTGGCCTCGTGGGAAACTAAGGGCTAGAAATCCTTGTCTTCCAAACCTCAGATGCAGGATTTAAGTGACTTGGGTACCACGTGCTTGTCTCCAAGGGCGTCTAGATGTGATTTTTAAGTTTTGACCTGCAAGCACCACGAGAGAAAAGTGGCCTTCACATTCTCACCCTAAACCCACACTTTATTTTTAAAGATTTATTTATGCATACAAGAGCTGGGGTGCAGGCCAGAGGTGGGGGGGTGAGAAGATTAATCAGAAATAGAGTGGAGAGCAGAATAGGCAGATCTTCTGAAAAACACTTGAGGGGAGCAGCGGGCGAGACAGGAGAGGTCTGCCTTAAAACAGTCACGCTGCAGTATCCCACTGGGTGCTGATTTTCTGAAGCATTAGAAAGTTGAGGGATACTGGCCTTTTTAATTTCCAGGTTTGCCGCTCCAATTCCCCGCCCCCATACCCCCGTACTTGTGCAATCGTGAGTAGGTTTTACCGGCTTAAAAGGCTTATCGCTCCTGGGGAGCGGTAAGGGCTGACGCGGACCGGAAACTCGTTCTCCGCACCTCCCCAACCAACCGGCCGCCGCGCCGCTTCCGGGGAGGAGGGCGGTGGCGTCATCACCGAGCGCCGGTCGCGCCGCAGTGCGGAGCGTGGCGGACCAGAGCAGGCGAGATGTTGAGCCGGCTTCAGGAGCTGCGCAAGGAGGAGGAAACGTTGCTCAGATTAAAGGCGGCCCTTCACGACCAGCTAAACCGTCTCAAGGTGACGCAGCGGCCCCCACGCGCCCCTGCAACCTGCCGCGGTCCCGCTTCCCCGCGCCCGGGCCGCCTGGGTCTACGCCGACCCCCGCCGGCTCTTTACCCTGCCTGCGGTCTAACCCTTCCATTACAAGCTCGCCTGGCCCAGGCATCCGGGGGACTTGATTTGAGATTATGAGCCTCTCCCCCTCAGCATCTTGATCCTGCATGTAGAGGCCCGAGACCCAGCAAGCCGTACGTTTGATGAGCACACGCCCATTCTCAGCCCGGTAAATAGATGGCCACAGACGACTCGCGGAGCAAGTGCGATTTAACCTGCCCTCCGACCTCTTTCTCTTGCGGCATTTATGAGCCTGTTTACTAGCTTGTATTGAGTTTGAAACAGCGCTGTTACAGCAAATCTAGAACACTCACAGATCCTCCCGTTGTAGGAAGAAAGGGTTTGAGGCTCTGAGATTGCAGACTTGTAGCAGAGTCGAGTTCCCAGTAACCTTTTTTTCGGGAGCTGTTAAAACACAGTCTTGAAGAGACATCGAGATTTAGACCCACCAGGGCCATTTCCCAGCCTTTGCGTTATTCACTCTCATTTCCCAATGAGATCAGAGCTATGAAAACTCTTCCCAAAATGAGAAGTGTACAATTGGGACATCAAAGTAATAAGCACTTTCCCTCAGGAAGGTTGTAATGAGACCCTCACTTATGTGCTTACATCATGACACTTCCAATACACACTGTGTGTGTGTGTGTGTGTGTGTGTGAATTCCAAAGCCTAGATTCCTTTATGCTACAGGAAACACATTTCCCATACTTAATACCTTTATTTTCAATTCATTACTGGATAGCCAAGCTCAGGAATAGGAAATCAACTCACTGTGCCATCAGATACCTGTTTTTTTTTTTTTAATGGTGCACTGTTTTCGTCCTTAAACTGTGAAGCTTTGGAGAGTGGGAAGCCTTGGTTCGGCTGGAACACCTCCTAAGGGAAGGGACTAGAGACTTTCTTTGCTCATTTCCTTAAAAGTTAAGAGCTCCGTGCTTCCCTCGAGCCACAGAGATTACACCATTTTCACTTCCTCTATAATACCAACCTTTTCCAGCATGCTCAGTAAATTTTACCCACATCAGCAGCCCAGAGAAATAGTAAGGAAAGTGTCCTCAATGCTCCTTTTCTAGGTTGAAGAAATGGCCCTCCAATCAATGATTAGTTCTGCAAGAGGAGATGAGATGGTGTCTTCTCAACTGCCACCTGAACAGTCACATGATGTAAGCTTAATCAAGTGTGGGTTTTGGGGGGCCACCCTGCTGGTGCAAGGGTTTCAGTGTCAGCACTATGAAGCTTTCCGCAGACACTGCAGCACGAGTTCAGTCCCTGCTGGCCAGGGAGCTATCCACATGGCGCAGCAGACCTCTCCTGTCTCGCCCGCTGCTCCCCTCAAGTGTTTTTCAGTAGATCTGCCTATTCTGCTCTCCACTCTATTTCTGGTTAATCTTCTCACCACCACACACACCTCTGGCCTGCACCCCAGCTCTTGTATGCATAAATAAATAAATCTTAAAAATAAAAAAAAATATGGGTTTAGGGTGAGAATGTGAAGGCCACTTTTCTCTCGTGGTGCTTGGAGGTCAAAACTTATAAATCACATCAAGCCCAAAGGACTCTGGGAAGTGTGATTATGAATTTTGTAGTTTAATGAACTGGCTATTCTACATTACTGCTTTAGACAGGGAACAGATCACCTTTCTACCAGGTAGTACTTTGGTTAATTTATGAATTACATACCATTATATTGTCTTCACCATTTTAGTCATCCATGCCCTCTACTTACTGCAGTGAATCCAGGCAGAGAATGGAGATCCTTGCTGGGACATGTCAGAACTCTTGCTCTTTTTGAATAAGTAAACTTGGGATTTGAAAATAAGTGTAGCTTCAACTACAAAACATAATGCTAAAAAATGAGTTCTGGCCCACATCATATCCTCCTCACCAAATGTCCTAGGTAAATCTGTAAGTTTATGTTCTTTATCAATATACCGTATTGAGTATTTCTTTCCCCAGATTTGTGTTAAGCCATTTGAAAGTAGCATTTCTAAGCCAGGATAATTCTTATGTCAGAAACTACGTTGATAAATCAGGTAGCATTCTACCAGATCTAGAGCATTTCTTTCTCCTTTCATTTTGGAGATGGAGGTAGGGAAGTTAGGGTAGAATTTGGAGAAATAGTTAAGTGGCCATACCTCTTGAAGATCAATGTTGGGGGGCCTCCCCGGTGGCGCAGCGGTTGAGCGCTGGGTTGCGAAGCTGCCCGCGGCCCCTGCGGCGCCGGTTCGATCCCCGGCTGCTCCCCGGCCACCAGAGGGGGGTCCCACATGGCGCGCAGACCTCTCCTGCCGCCCGCTGCTCCCCTCAGCAGTGTACTTCGGTCCTTCTGCCTGCTCTGATCCCCGCTCTGGCTCTGGTGAATTCTCTCACCCTCCCGTGCTTCTGACTGTACCCAGTGCATGTATAAACAAAACAAACAAACAAACAAATAAATAAAACATGCCTCTATTTAAAAAAAAAAAAAAAAGATCAATGTTGGGGATGAATATGCAATTGAGATCTAATTTTAAAACATTTTTAGGAAGTTGCTATTTTGAGCCAATGTCCTTTCTACTAATCCATAATGTCTTTGGCTGAAGCAGGCGCTGGTGCATGTAGACAATGAAGCATCAATCAACCAAACTGCACTGGAGTTGAGCACAAGGAGCCATGTGCCAGAAGAGGAGGAAGAAGAAGAAGAATCAGATTCCTGAAGGGGGCAAAGAGCCAGGGTTAGTTTTATAAATTACACTTCTAAGTCTCAACAACTTTATCTCTTTAAAGAGTTCTTCTTGCCATGGGGCCTATGGCTTTAAATGGAAGAATGAACTTGAGGAGGATGTGTAGTTGTAAAAATGGTTTCATCAGTAACTCAGTTTTCAGAATGCTTTAACACATATCAGTGACATCAGAAAGAAAACATGCTGTGTCTTAGCGCTGACTAATATGGTGATGCTCTGTCTTTATTCTGCTCAGATTCAGTAATTGTGTTCAAAATAGAAAATACTTTTGAAATGCTATTGAGAAAGTCTAGCATTTGCCAAAGAGAGCAGAATTTAAATACAAGCCCTTCCAATCAACAGTGCCTCTTCTAAGAAAACCAGTTAAGAGCTATATACATGCCAGTGAACCCTAGTGCACAGGGCATGGCCAGTCAGGAAAAAATGACAAGGACAGAGTCATTTGAGAGCGCACGGTGTCACCGCTCACTGACGTCAAAATATACTGTCCCCTGTAGACTACTTTTTGTGTGGCTGTTAGCACTTCTAGGTTGAGACATCATATGGGAAAATATGCTTAGAAGTAAATTATAAATAGCTATCACACAGCTTGCTGGTTTTTCAGGCAGCAGCAGAGAAAGGATTTTTCTCCTCTGGGGAAAACTAGAGCAGGATGGTTAAAAACCCATTTCTGAACTTAAGAGAAGTGTACCACTAAAGAGAAACTATGCTTGGGAGAGTTTTGAATTTTATAATAAAAGTGATGACAATTACAGAATATGAGTTGGTAAAACTTGGTATTTGAAGTTTGAATTCATTTCTGCATACTGTCCCTTTTTTCCTGAATATACAGTTAAGTAGTTGCTAATTTCATAAAAGTAATTTGCCCTGCCCAAGCAACAGGGAACCAAAACACAAAGAACCTCCTCAAGCAGACCTTATGTAACTGTTCCAGAAGAGAACATGGATATATTTGTTAATCAACATTTCATAAAGTTATTTTGAGCTATTCTTACAGGAAGGAGCAGAAGTTTAAATGAGCATGTTTCTTGGAAAACAATGTGAGGAGTTTTGCAGTGAACAGTGTCAAGGTATACATTTGGAGGGTCTAATTTAAAATATGAGCTTGGGTTTTTAAAAGCCAGAAATAATTGGCTATTAATTCTAGTTCTACTATTAACTGGTTGCTTGCCTTTTCTCACCTCTTTGCAACTCTCACTTTCCCATCTGTAAAACGAGGGCTTATTCATATCTGCTCTAGCAGTTTCACAGGTTATTGTGAGGTGCTAATGAGATATCATTTAGAAATCCAACTATTATTGGTGTCTCAGTAAGAGGACATTTGAGGATGGAATTTGGCATGGGGGATGGAAAACACAACAAAACTGATTTAGGGAACATCATTCTTGAGAACTCAATCATCCTTGGTAAAAATTACTGGGAAAAATCTTATGACTCTCAATATGTAACGCCTTTGGATGTGAATAGAAATTTAAAACACCCTCCCGAAGACACTGAGCACAAAAGCATTCACATTCAGGTTTTAGACTCTAGGTTATATCATTTCTTCCTCCTAAGATGTGTTTTGCATGTTTCAATGAGACATTCTCAGTTGTGGTAGCTTTCTCTCTATTATAAAGAGACAGGTTTTGAGAAAGATGTGGGAATCTTAAAATTTGGCCTGAATGTTTTTATGTTGAAAACATAAATTAGACTGGTGACTTAGAACATGTTAAACCTGGCAGTAAGAAAAAATAGTTGGCTAGCTGAGGCAGCAGTGTAAACACTAACTGCTTTGTAAAGTCCTGGCTGTGCCCCAACCTCTGGTCGAGCCAGAGTGAAACTACCTGCTCTGGACATTTGCCCAAGTTTTGTTTTTTATTTGAAAACTAAACAGGCCTTTAATTTTTTTTTAAGATTTATTTATGCATACAAGAGCTGGGGTGCAGGCCAGAGGTGTGTGTGTGTGGGGGGGGGGGGGATGGTGTGAGAGGATTAACCAGAAATAGAGTGGAGAGCAGAAGAGGCAGATCTACTGAAATACACTGCTGAGGGAGCAGCCGGTGAGACAGGAGAGGGCTGCTGTGCCATGTGGGTCAGCTCCCTGGCCAGGGATCAAACTCATGCTGCAGTGGCTGAGGATAGCTTCATAGTGCTTAACTATGACACTTAACCCCTTGTGCCACCAGGGAAGCCCCCTAATTTTTAAATATATATGTGTTGATTTTCTGTGACCTCTCTGAAAGGAAGAGGAGGGAAGAGGTGCCAACCAGATAGCCTAATACAAATTTCAGGTTCCAAAAACCACTGTTCAGAGAAGGAAAAGGCACCATTCCAGTTGGAATGTGGTGGTTTTCTGTGACTTCATTACCACCTTACAGACATGACCAAGCCTGCACCTCCTCTCCAAGAAGGTGTAGTTAAGTATAAATGATGCCCATGAGGGAGAACTGCTGCTCAGGGGAGCAGGCAGCACAGACTGACCACAAGGTAGATGTGCAAAAGCCAGCAGGCACAGCTGGACTCTGCAAGATGTTCCTGTGGGCATGCTTTCCACGCCCACTCCACCTACTACTTTTTCCTCCATATAAGGAGATGGAAGGAATAGATGGGATCTAGTCACTGTCCACAGGAAGGTGGCTGGAAGTTCAAGGTAACAGCGTGTGGTAAGGAGACTTGGATAAAGATTGGAATTTTCAGAATGCTCCGTGAGTCCACTGAAGTAGTCCTTTGTCCCCAATGTGATTTTTCCACCTTCCAGCCACCTTCCCATCTTTACTTTCCCCTCACAATAATCACATTTGATTTCTTGAGTATTAGAGACTCTGAAAATCCCACCACAAAACTAGAAATACCTTTCATCTTTTTAACTTGATAGTATATTTATTAGAATAAGAGATTTGTTAAACATTTGGATTAAAATGGTTAAAAGGATTTTCGTACAATTTTTAGGCACTATACACACGTTGTTTACAATAGCATCAGTACTTGGATGTGGGGAAAGAGAAATCTCATAAATTTTAATGCCTGATCCATTTATAAATCAAAGTAACTCCACCATTTTAGAAATACTAGCCAAACTTAAAGAGACAAATACCACTAAATTTCCCACACAGTATATTTAAAAATAAATAAGAAATATAACCAGGAGTCTACAAATCATCACGGTAGACAGACTGGTGAAGCCCCAGCTAGAATGGCAGTGAAGGGCTCTGGCTAGATTTTGATGGATACGGCTAGATTCTACACCAAAAGCAAAATAAAAACATGATATGCTTTCTGATGCTCATTTTCATAGCAGCATAGCATGCTTCACATGCACCGCCTGTGAAGGGTCTTACGAGTCTCCTTCTTAATCAAAGAGAAGGTACACCCAGTAAACATGAAGTACCACCAAGTGTCAAAGAATCCCAAAAATACAGGCGGCCAGCCAGTCATGGTGAAGGAAGAGCAGTGCAATTTTCAGTGAGAATGACTACCCACGATCACCAAAGGTTTACAGTTGAAATGTGTGTGTTCAGATCATTGACAGTACACAAAATAGCCCCAAGCACAAAGCCAATCCACTTAGGGGGAGAACAATAGTAAATAGAATAAAGACAGCAATATTTAAAATGACACGAGTAGAATTTTGGCACATGCTGTGTTCTTCATCCTTTGTCGTAGGTGAAATTCACGTCTGAACAGAGACAGGCTTGGGAAGGAGGTCCAAAAGCAACATGGCACGCCACGGGCAGGAGACTTGCTGTTTGCTGCTCCCCAAACACTTAGACACCAGCCGCATGAGTTGGTGTGCTGGGCTGGTTAAGGCCGATGGTGGAGCAGAGCCAACCTGCAAAATCCACTTCCTCAGCATCAGATCTCTTGATAAAAGCATGAACCTGTGAGCAAGGTAACAGGGAGAGAGGAAGTGGTGTTAAAAAAAAAAAAAAAGGAAAATTCAAGAGAGTCAAACTTACATTGCACTTGGAAGGAGAGTCCAGAGCCTGCCTTTAAGCCACAAGGGCCGGCAGCTGCCTGAAAGCCCACTCTGTCTGGCTCTGCCCATTTCACCAGCTGTGAGCCTTGGGCAATTTGCTCACTTCCCTGGGCCTGCTTTTGCCATGAAATTGGGGGCGGGTAGTAGCGTTTGCTTTGGTAGCACACAGGATTGTCAGAGGAACTGAGGGACTTGAAAGTGCCTGTCACTACCTGGGCTTGTAGCTCAAGTATTTACAATCTCGCTTCCCCTCCCCTTCCCTTGCCCTACAGCTCAACAAGAGATGAGTGTGACTTTGGGAGGGTGCTGGATGGAAGGTGAGCTATTCCGTGTTAGGAAAAGGCCCTGTCCACATAAGGAGTTGGCTGGCCCTTTCTTGAAAGTCCTGGGCTCCTTCAGACTGCAGGCTCTCCCAGCTTCACACGGACAGAACCAAGGAGGCTCATTTTGATGTGCTGCAGCCCCAGGGTCAGTAGACCATGGTCAAGGCAGAACACAGAGTGAGTTCAGAAAGCACTGGGTGGATGACTGAGGGGAGAGCAAATGCATAAAAGTTAGCACAGTATCTGAAAAGGACTTACCATGAGTTGCTTCAAATCTGCTCTCTCTGCAGGGTTTTTTATTAAGCTTAAAGGAAGAAAGATAAGTTATTGCCTGGCATTGGTTCTAATTCAAATTACTTAGGTTTGCATTCCTGCCCTCCTTACTCTCTAGGCTCTAAGGAGTGGCTGAACCTTATTCCTGTTCTTAGCACACTGTTGTGCCAACAGGTTAATGAAAGCTTGCTGTATTAAACTGAGGTCAGGAAACAGTAAGTCAATCTCTGTGGAGCAAGTAAGTGCCAAAAGCAGTAGCTGTTTTGTCACTGCTATACTTATTTCTGTCACCTAAGTCCTAGGATATGAAGAAGGGCAGCAGCCAAAGGGTGATCAGAGGGAAGGGGAGTCTGACAAATCAGAGTGCTCTGCCTGAGAACAAGGAGCCAACTCACCATTTATTCACAAAATCTTGAAATTCCAGACTGAATACTCCACTGGGCAGTTTTGGAGGAGGCTGTAAATAAACATCAAGATATAAGAAATGCCTGGTTCCTTTGTCCATCTCCTCTTCCCTCTCCATCCCCACTTCTGGACAGTGCTGCCCATATCCAGTCAGAGTAGGGGTGGGAGGCTAGTAGCTGCCCACCTGGTCACCTGGTAGAACCAGTGGTCTCACAAACCACAGAAGTAGAGCAAAGTCAGTGTGTTACCATTCGTCTAGTGATGAAACAAACCACTCTTCCTTCCTGAGCCTCAATTTACCCTTGTACAAAAGGAAGACGTTTGGGCCAAATGGCCTCTGGAGCCTTCCAGGTCTGACAGCTCCAGCTGTAAATGTTGGAGCCAGCAATTACTAGCAACAGCCAGAAGAGTGTACAAAACCTTAGGCAGCCCTGCCATCACCTATGAAAGTCAGAGGGTAAAAAAAAAGATTATATTGTGTATATTAAAATACAAATACATTTTAATATATTAAATACTTAAAATAAATTATTTAATAAAAAAATAATAAATATAAAGTGTATCTTGCTTTTCTGAGCCATGAAGGAGCAAAGAAAGAGTAATAAAACAACGGGTAGAGGTGTGGGTCTGGAAGAATGTCACCTGCACAATCCCACAAGGAATGAGACGTATCAGCACAAGAACACTGACAACAGCTCTCGTTTTCCCAGGATGGGTGATGGAGAGCACAAGGGCCTACACATAGCAGTGCCCGGGAACACCTGGCTTCTGCTCTATATAGCCCCAGAAAATGTCAGTCCACCTCACGTGGCCTGTCTGAGGGCCGTGTGCAGCTTCCTTGTAAGCAGTGGCTCCCAGTCACTGCCCAGAATGTCACTGCTCTGATGTGTAGCCCAAATCAACAGGTTATTCAAGAGTAAAAATGAAACACTGACACTACTCAGAGCACAGCCAAGCCCTCTTCTCCTAAAGATGTGGGAAAGATCTGATCTGAACCACAGGTGAATAAGCCTGATCCAAGGTCAAGGACTAGAACCTAGCTCTTAGAGCCATCTGCAAGACTGCCCCTACTGCTGAGGGGGATGAAGACAGTGTTCAAGGAGAGGAAACTGACAGCTTGGCCTCCAGAAGCCAAGCCAGTCCTGAGTAGGGGATGGAAGCAGTCAAGGGAGAGTTTATAATGGATAAGGGGGTCTTCTTTGCACCTTTTGGGTTCTCTATTAAGTTCAGCCAACAGGGCCTCCCCAGTGGCACAGCGGTTGAGCGCTGGGTTGCGAAGCTGCCCACAGCCTCTGTAGCGCCGGTTCGATCCCCGGCCACCAAAGGAGGGTCCCGCATGGCGCGCAGACCTCTCCTGCCGCCCGCTGCTCCCCTCAGCAGTGTACTTCGGTCTTTCTGCCTGCTCTGCTCCCCGCTCTGGCTCTGGTGAATTTTCTCACCCTCCCGCGCTTCTGACTGTACCCAGTGCTTGTATAAATAAATAAATAAATCTTTAAAAAATAATAAAAATGAAAAAAATAAATTCAGCCAACAATAATAAGCAAAAAGCTAGCTTGAGTCACCTGTAATTCCATCAATCAGAGATAACCACTGTGCATCACTTTCCAGAATTTACATGCACATGTATGCACACAAAGATTGTTTTTAAAGGTCAACTATATTATTTTATTATTTTTTATTTTTTTAAGATTGATTTATTCATTTATACAAGAACTGGGGTCAGGTCAGAAGCACGGCAGGGTGAGAGAATTCAATAGAGAGGGTTGAGCAGAACAGGCAGACGGACCGAGGACACTGCTGAGGGGAGCAGCAGGCGAGGCAGGAGAGGTCCGCCCCGCAATGTGGGAATCTCCCTGGCTGGTGGGGAATCGAACTGGTGCTGCAGATGCTGCAGACAGCTTCGCATCTTGGTGCTTAATAGCTGCACAACCAGGGAGGCCCTAAAGGTTTATTTTATTTATGCATACAAGAGCTAGGGTATAGGCCAGAGGTGTAGGGGGGTGAGAGGACTCACCAGACACAGAGCAGGGAACAGAACAGGCAGAAGGACTGAAATACATTGCTGAGGAGAGCAGTGGGTGTGACAGGAGAGGTCTGCTGCGCCATGTGGGTAGCTCCCTGCCGGGGATAGAACCCTTGGTGCAGTAGCTATGGATTGCTTTATAGTGCTGAGACAACCCCTTATGCCACCAGGGAGGCCCCAAAGATTTTTTTTTTTTTTTTAAAGAACTGATCTTAGTGTCCATAGTACTTTGTGACCTGTTTTTTTGCATGCAACAATTTATGGTGAATATTTTCCATCTCTGTTTCTACACTCATTTTTAATAGTACCAAAGAAAACCCTTTCCTGCAGTTACACATGCATTTGCCCTGCCTCCCTTTGCAAAGAGATACCAAGACTTGGGGCTTTTTCCACCTTTGGGTCCCCACTTTGCCCCAACCATCACTCCACAGTGCTTTTAGTAAGTGCATAAGAAATGCTGGGTAAATGAGTCTCCTGTATCTGAGGAGAGACCTGGAGCTACATGGAGTCCCCTGGGGAGGGCACTACTGCAACCTCTAACCAGTTAACTCCAAGAGCATGATACACAAACCAGAATCCTGGGGCCTAGGCAGCTCATACTGAGCTGGGTACAACTCACAGGAGCCCAGTTAAACCAACTGAGTGTTTTCTTAAGTGGAACAAATTATTATTTTTTAAAAACAAATTTTTAAAGATTTATTTATTTTTATACAAGAGCTGGGGTACAGGCCAGAGGTGTGGGGGGGTGAGAGGATTCACCAGAGACAGAGTGGGGAGCAGAACAGGTAGATGGACTGAAATACACTGCTGAGGGGAGCAGCGGGCATGACAGGAGAGGTCTGCTACACCATGTGGGAATCTCCCTGGCCAGCCAGGAATCGAACTGGCACTGCAAAGACTGCAGACAGCTTCACAGTGCTGCGTTCAACCCGCTGCACCACCGGGGATGCTCAAGTGGAGCAAGTTAATTCCAATGTCAAGGAAGCCATACAATACTTACCTCATTGACTATGTAATCCAACAACTCAAAAATTGCCATGGGAGGTCGACTGTCCATTCCATAAGCTATAGATTGTATAAAAAGAAAAACAAAAAAACACCTCAGAATCAGGAAGCTACTTGCCAATATAAGGCGAGGGGTTGGGTATAGATCTGGGAACCAGAACAGGGTTGTGGATAATAAACAGAATAGCTACAATAAACCCTGAATATAGACGGTATCAGCAGAGCCTACAGAGTCATCCAGCCAGGGTGAGAATCTGGGCTCTACCACATGCAGGCTTGTGACTTTGGATAAATCAGTTGACTGCTAAGCCTAGTTCTCAGTTTTGAAAGTAGAGATGGACAATGATTGCATCCGTCATTCCTCCCTATCTTGGGAGAACAAAGGAAATAAGAACTAAAGAAATTAATATCCCCAAACTTGGGTTTCTGTCATACCCCAGAGTTACAGGCCAGCCCCAGGGACTGCCACCAGAATCCTCTGCTCCTCTTTATCCAGGCCCTCTCCTACGTGGGACCCACATCTCCCTGGTTAGACAGGAACATCCTGGCAGCAACTACATGAGAAGATGATGGCTGGGCCAGGCTCTTTAGAGTAGCTGCATATTTACTTCCCAGGATTCCCATCCAGAGCAGCAGGCGGTGCTACAAGTGTGCACTACCTTGGGGTCCGACTTGACCACTCACAAGTGTGTGTGGACATGGCAAATCAAGTACTCTGTGCCTCAGTTTCCTCATATCTAAAATGGAGATTAACACAGTTAGGACGCCATCCTCACTACTGGGGGCATGTGCCCCAGCCCGTGCGCCATCCCTGCTGCTGCCTGGGCAGGGGCACAGGAGAGGGGTGAGGTAGGGAGGTGGGCATGATGCCTGTAGTGATTAAATATGAATTTAACTTTTTTTTAAGATTTATTTATTCATTTATACAAGAACCGGGGTACAGACCAGATGTGCGGGAGGACAAGAGGATTCACCAGAGACAGAGTGGGGAACAGAACAGGGAGACTGATGAAATACACTGCTGAGGGGAGCAGCGGGCGAGACAGGAGAGACCTGCCTCACCATGTGGGACCCTCACTGGCCGGCCGGGATCGAACTGGCACTGCAGAGGCTACGGACAGCTTCACAGCACGTCACTCAACCACATGCGCCACTAGGGGAGGCCCTGAATTTAATTCTTTAAATAAATATATAAAGTGGAAATTATAATAGGGCTCACACACAGTTGCTATTAAAATCAGAAATTGCAGGCAAATCCAGAGAGACAGATGAGTGGTTGCCAGAGGGTAGGATGGGGGGAGTTGGGAGTGATTGCTAATGGAGATGAGGCTTCTTTTTGGAGTGATGGCAAATGTTCTGGAAATGTTCTAGAATGACATGATGGTTGTAGAACATGGAGAAATACGCAAATAACCATTGAATTGTATACTTTAAAGTGTGTGTTTTATGTTATGTGAATTTTGTCTCAATTTTTAAAAATACCCCCAAAAAGAATGTCACAGCTTTTAAAAAGAGACTGCATATGAAGTGCTGGGAACATAATAGCCACTCAACAAATGGTAGGAAGTTGTTGCTACTAACAATTTCCTACACCCAGAGATCCTTGCTCTGCTTCCCCCTGGCCCCAGCCTGGCATCCAGAGACGGAATCAGTCTTGGGGGAATGTACAGAGAATCAGCCCTCTGACTATAAGGGGTCCCCACAGTCCAAGTTAAGACCACATCAGGCCACTCACAGCTGAGGGGCCTCCCAGGGGTCCTCGGCCTTGGCGGTGTCTCAGCTGCATCTCCTTCAACCTGGCACCCAAACATCAGCTCCAGCTCCTTGGCATCCGGAGGAGGGATGGGATACCTCCCAACCGCCATCTCAACCAGCGAGAGCCCCATGCTCCAGATGTCAGACTGCACCGAGTAATGTGTCCCCTGGAGTCGTTCTGGCTGCAGGAGAGAGAGACAGTTATGATTGCCTGTGAGCTAATCTGGGCCCATGCAGAAGAGGATGGGCGAGGCCCCACGGATGCACAAAGGCAGGTCTCAGAACTTCCCATCCCTTTGAGGCTGTCCTGCACTGGTACAGAGTGGATTACCCTACATGCTGATGTATTCAATCTTCTGCCCCTTCCTCTTGAGAGCTCACTTCCTGTTTTAGGACCTACACTAATCTCTTGAATTTTGCCTCCAGCTTACCCCCAATCACTGTGTTCATCAAATCCTAGCTGACTCCAGTGACTCTGACCCCTCCTCATCCATGTCCCCTGTAACCTGCCCTGAAATAACAGCAGACTGCCTGGCCTGGACACAGTATGGCATGAGTGGGGAAGCCTGTTCAAAGCCCAGCAGGTAAGACTCCTCTGAAATGTACAGCTGCTAGAACACAGGTCATGAATGAGGTATGCAGTGGGCAGAAAAAACACTGGCCTAGAGAGTCATGAAAGCTGAGTTAAAGGACTGCACTGCCACTGACTCACTAACTGTACAGGGATGATGTGGAATGATAAGAAAGGCAAAGGTCTGGGGTCAGGAGACCCAGTTCAAGTCCCAGCTCTGGGACTTAGAAGCTACTTGACCAAGAATCTGCATTTCCTCATCTGAAAAATGGGGCTGCCAATGATGGTAACAATAACAACAAACAACTCCACTGACTAGAGTTGTTAGAAGATCAAATCAAAATCTATTTTACACATAACACAATGTGTAAAAATAGGAGGTATTGATGTGAAGAGTCAACAAGAAAAAGCACAGAGTGCTATATAAAAGTATTCTTATCAAGTGATATTTGAAGTAGCACGTTATTTCAAGAACTCTACCAAAAAACTCTTTATTCTAATTTTCATACATTTATTTAGACAATAAAATTAATTTCTCCCCTAGGATTTTTCACTACCTCCCACACTGGACTATTTTGGAGCTGACCACATAACCACAAAAACCCCAAGCCACTAAACCATGGATCAATAAATCCTGGTGCCTGTTAATTGATTTTGAACTTGAGATGTCAGTTGAGTGACCGAAGGTGCAAGCTGGAGGGCCCATGGGTTTCATGTTTCTTTCTTTCTTTTTTTTTTTACAAATTTTATTTATTTATTTATTATTTATATTTTATTTTTATATTCCCCATACAATTACAGCCCCCTTATTTCGACTGCAATCCCTCCTTTCCCTGCCCCCCAACCCCCATAGAGTGTCTCTGGTTCATAGTTGTTTATTGATTTTGATATTTTCTTTCTTATAGTTATTCTTTTTCCTGGTCCCTTATTTAAGTTTTCTAGATTCCTGCTATGAGTGAGACCAGGTTTCTTGTTTCTTAATGACGTAAGTTACTGGAATGGAGGGGTGGGGGTGGTGGGTCAGCACAGGGTGAGGGATGTTGACAGTGGAATCGCAGTGGGGGTGTGGGGCAAGAAGAAATGAGGATGTGGGCATGAACTTCCACACAGGGAAGCCAGAACAGCTGCCAAATTTTGCTCGAGAGGCAGATGAGAGCATGCTGTGCAGAGGGAGAATGACTGGCAGGGAGACCAGGCTTTCGATCCTGGCTCCGCAAGGTTAAGCCAACCTCCCTGAATCTAGATTCCCTCATCTCTGTGCCCAAATAATAACCTTCATTGCCCTGGACAACCACAGAGATCAAGTGAGATCATTTAAGGATATGAAAATGTTTGAAGAAAATACATGAAACACTGGTGTGCACATACCCAGCCCTTCGTGCTGGCTCCCACCGCCCATGCTTCCACCTCCAAAGTGCTCCCACTCACTGCAGCTCCTCGCCCCTGCACCATTCAGCACTCAGCCAGTCACATTTCCCCCTTCCCAAACCCTTCTCAGGAACATGCTATCTGGTTACCCACCGATTCAGTCAACAGACATTCACCCACCCACCAAGCATTTCGAGCACCTACCACATGCAGGCACCAGGCCAGATCCTAGGGACAACAGAAATGCCCGTGGCCTTGTCCCTGGCCCTGCCCCAAGGGGCAGGAGAGAGAACACACTGGGGCAGGAGACAGCCACACCCAGGGATCTGGTGGCTACAGGAGCCAGTGGAGTTGGGAGCAAGAGCGAAGACTGCTGACCTCCTCAGCTGAACTAGAGCAGACTCGAGCCAGGGGACAGGTGGGTGTACAGTGGTGAGAGGCAGGGGTAGGTAACTGGGAGGCATGCAGTGAGAGGGAAGCAAAGAGGCCGGACTAGGGAAACAATTCTGAATAGACTCGGGAATTGGGGGTTGCTAGATGCTGAAAGGATGGGTCTTTACCCCTAGAGGCTGATGCTTGGGTTTCCACCTTAGGAAAGCAAGGAAATAGTGGTGCCACATACTGCTAATGGAAAAGGAACAGGTAAGACCAACTGGGGTGGAGTCATGTCTGACTGAAGAATCTGAAGAAAATCAGGTAATGTCCGGGAGTAACTGAACACATGATCTCTTCAGAACAGAAGCCAAGCTCTGGGGATGTCCAAGTACAGCAGCAGCTGGATCTGTGCAATCTCTTCTAATGACTCAAGGCCCTAGGATACCAATTAGGCTCCAGGGCCTGTGAAAAGCAGAAACCAATCTCCCCGCGAGACTGCCATCTCCTCAGGGACCACAATGCCTCATCTCTCAGTTCTTTCTCCCCTACCTCCACCACCCAGCATGAGACTCTGGTTCCCAGAGGAAGGCATCCATTTGGCCTCTATCCCTGACTGGGAAAGAAGCTGGAGAAAAGGAATCTGTCATTCATACCGACATGTAGGACCTTGTGCCCACGAAGGAGTTGGCCATGGAGTCAATCAGCTGCCCACTGACCCCAAAGTCACAGAGCTTGATCTCCCCACGAGAGTTCACTAGGATGTTGGAGGGCTTGACATCTGCATGGGAAAGAAAACAGAAATAGAGGATTGATGCAAGCAGGCAGTGAAGGGTCAGCGCTCCAGTCAGGCCAGTCTGACCATGAGTCCCTGGCCACTGGCCCCTCTACAGAGCCAGCCCCTGACTTGCAAACACCTGACACAAGGGCCTCTTATTCCCCCTTGTTCAGGGTCAAGGAAGGATTTTCAGGAGAGGAAATGACAAGCTGCTATGGAAATGGGACAGAAAGTCAACGGATTTCCAGGCTTGAGTATCCAGACTTGGTCAGATGACCTATGGGAAGGAGTCAGTTATGAACAATCAAAATTTCAGACTATTGTTTCTACTGCCCCCTACTAGCAAGACACAAAATCTATGGTTGGATCATGAAGGAGGAAGAAAAGTACAAATAATAAGACCTGTATGCTTGCTAAGACTACAGACCAAAGACTAAAAAGGGAAGGAATAAGAGCGAAATGCTTGTTTTTGACCTCAGTACCAGGCACAAAGCCATGTGGGTTTTAGGAATACATGTGGTAGGGGCTGGGAGCTATGATTCTCTTCACTGACTTTATTGCCCTAATTGCTTACACCAGTTAGTCAAAGACCTCTCCACTCCCATCCCCTCCATCCTCACTGCGGGCAACTAGGGAGACCTGAAAGCTGCAACATCAAGGCAGTGCTGCCAGTACCAGCCCCATGCCCATTCCCTGCACTCGGACCTGCCCCACTTTCTGCCCCGGCTATCACCACCAATACAAGTCCCCTGGCTATTCCCTTTGCAGAGAGAGGTAAACTTTTATTGCACTGTCTCCTCTGCTCCAAACAACTGCCCTGTAAAGTGGACAGGTCAGGGCCTGGGGCCTGATATTGTCAGTTACAGGTGGAAATCTGAGGCTGGGATTGGTTAAAGGTCCCCAGGCCAGGGCTTTGCAGGCAGACATCAGGGAACAATGAGACCACTCAAGAGCAGAACACACCAGGGATAACATCACAAACTGTCACAGTAATATTTGACAGAATATAAACACTATGTGGAATATCCTGAGAATTAGGAGAAAAAAAAATCCCCATAATTCCAACTTACCAGAACAACTATTAACATTTATTATCTTCCCCTTCAATATGCTCATATATAAATGCATTTATTTATTCTTAAACAGAGTCTACCAGATTCTATTTATCTTGCCAAGGGTAAATTGAAAAAAATAATCACCCTCTCATATCCCAGTAAATCCTTCCCTTGTCCCACCCCCACCACAGCCCCAAGTTACCCCTGGCCTCTCGCTAGCCACATCAGCTAGTTATTTATCATCTCCTCAAAGATTAGGATGTCAGTTGTGTACCCCCACCAATGTAATTCCAGGACAATACCTGGTACACAGTAGGTACTAGAAAATTCTTGTGAATATATGGATCTAAACTCACTGACTACACAGTTCACCCTCAGAATCACTGGTATGGCCTTTCTGAGACCTGGCCCTCATCATGTCACAGGATATGAGAACTTGCCAGCCCCTCAGTCATCTCAACGTCTCCTACTCAGACTTTCAGAACACAGGCATTAGGAGTAGCCCTAGAAAGTATCTGGTTCCTCCCCTTCGTAGTGGAGATGAAAACTCTAAGGTGCAATGGATCTAGGGACTTGTCTGAGGTCACATGGTAAAAGCTAGGTAAAGCTAAAAGCAGAACTCAGACCCTCTAATGCCTGGGTCTGTCCTCTTCCCATCCCCTGCTGCCAAATTACACAACAAAACACGATGGTTTTGCTCATTCACCTAGTGTTCACTGAGCACCTACTATGTAGGTTCTAGGGAGGTTCTATAGTACTATGCAGGTTCTAGGGAGACAACAACAAGCAAACCGACCAAGTTCTCCCTGTCACGAAGCTTACATTTTAGTGTGAAGAGACAAAAACAAGCTGACAAAACATTATGTAATGTCAGGTGGTCTCAAGTGCCATGAAGAAAATATAAATAACAAAACCATGTAAGAGCACAGCTGTGACAGGGCGACAAGGTGGGGGCCTCTGTGCAGAGATGACCCTGGAACAGCTGCTGAGATGTAGTGAGGGCATCATGGACTGCTTGGAGAATTATTTCAAGTACATGGGAGATTATAAACTTCAGGAGATCAGGGACTAACCTTTTCTTTTGTTTCTTACCTCAGCAGATGCCAACAAACACTTCCTACCCAGGTCCACTGGTGCAAGTTCCCATAATCCCTTAGCCTTTCTCAGAGGACAGAAGCCTGACTCCTGGAGGTCAGTATGCAGCATGTGGAAAATGACGGTGAGTAAGAGGCCAGAGCCAGGTGTGTGACAGTGCATGCTGGGGTCTGGCTTGGGAGCACAAGGGATACACTCAAACATGAGCCTCTCTCCACCAAATGCCACAACATTTACCCCATCACTGGACCATGAAACCCTGAGTTCCCTCACCTTCAAACGCTCCCATGGCCTGTTTAGGAATGACCTGTTAGGCCTTGTCTTAAAGCCAAGAGTGGCACTGGCTAAAGAGACAAGAATCCTGGCCCTGCCACTGCACTGTAATCAGCCTCGAGCAAGTCCCTGAGCTTATCAGTAAATAACAATCGCAGCTCTCGCAACCAGGATCAGTAGTGACATGTGGGCAGTGAGATAGCACCCCATATTAAAGGAGCACAGCGAATGATTGTTTCCCAGGTTGTCCTCCAGCATCAGCAGTTAGAAACACCAGACGCCCCCTTCACGCCCTGACAGAAAGCAGCCCCTCCCCAGGCCTGGGCCTCCTTCCTCTCCTGGCTCAGACACTTGTCTCTGGGCTGCAGCTGGTGCTCAGGAGTGACTGCATGGCTCTGTGACTGTCCTTGTATCTGATTTCTACTCACGTGGCAAGCAAGCCTCCTTTTTTTCAAACTTACATAACATGCTTTCCATGCCTGGCTGTCAGCCCCAGCTTCCCCCACTCACCCTAGGGAACAACACTGCCAGAAGGCTGCAGAGAGCCATGGGGGATGGGATGGGAGAGGAGCAGAGGGAAGCCCTGAGGGGCTGTTCCCTGCTTGGACCACATCTGTCCTGGAAGCACACGGCACCTCCAGTGATCTGGAAAACAGGACAAGAGGGTGCGTGGTGACCCAACCACACTGAAGCCCTCAACTCCAGAACAGTGGCCAGAGCCACCAGACCTGGACGTGCTCCTCCCTGCAGCCCCAGCCAAATCAGCTCTTCTCCGGGGGCAGACAGGACGCCATGTCAGATAAGGTCAGATGGAGACATTGTCCTCCAACTGTCAAGATCCCTTCTGTGCTTTCCACAATCTCCATCCCTCCTGTTTCTGTCCCTAGTATCCTCCTCCTCCACACAGCAACCAGCACTCCTCCAGCAGGCCGGCCACAGCCGCAGTGGCTCCCGTCTGCCTTAGAGTACAGTTAAAGCCGGTCAGCCGGCCTGTCCAAGGCCTTCACTGTCGCCCCTCACCTCTCTGACTTCTTACCTAGCACACTGCCATGTCAACCTCTGGGTTCAGGCTGTCCTGCCTCTAACTGTGCGGGATTGGGCTCATCCCTGCATCGAAAACATCCTCCTTTCCCACTCACCCACTCACCTCTGCTTCTAGGTGTCTTGTTCTTATGAGCTCGTCCCCTCTTGGAATACTGCCCTGCTCCTGGAGCCCTAGGAGGTTCCATTGGTTCCTCTTCCTCTTTCCAGCAGCAACCTCAAATGTTCACATCACAGACCCAGTCCCTGTCTACTGTCCAAGATCTTCTCCAGACCTTAAGCCCGGCACCTGGTGGGTCAGGCTGTAGTCTAAGCTCCCAGGCTTCCCAAGATACAGAGGTATGAGACCCCCATCTGTTCAGCCTCTATCACAGAGGATAGGTAAAGCCTCCTTCTTCAAAAACAAACAAGGAGGTTTATGAAAAACATTGTGGAAAAAAGGATTTTCTGATATCTTCTACCCTAGAAATAATCATTATTCAGAGTCCCCTGATTCCCCCGCCCCCATAGCATATGATTTTTTTTAAAAGATTTATTGATTGATTGATTGATTGATTGATTGATTTATACATACAAGCACTGGGTACAGTCAGAAGCGCGGGAGGGTGAGAGAATTCACCAGAGCGGGGAGCAGAGGTACACTGCTGAGGGGAGCAGTGGGCGGCAGGAGAGGTCTGCGTGCCATGTGGGACCCTCCTGCGGTGGCCGGGGAGCAGCCGGGGATCGAACCGGCAATACAGAGGCTGCGGGCAGCCTCACAACCCAGCGCTCAACCACTGCGCCACCGGGGAGGCCCCATAGCATATGATTTTAACCTAACTTTTTGAGCATTTTCTACCCATCTGAAGCAAGGGGTTTGGATGAAATGAGTTGTTCTGCATTTGTTTATTAAGTAAAAAGGACACATGCCCTGTCCCTAGGCCTTCACCACTAGGGGAGACAGAATCCAACAAATGACAAGAACATGCACACAGGGGTTTAACTCAGAAGTTCTAAATTCTTTCAACAAGCCAAGACTGACGCCAGCCTGATGAGCTGGCAAGACTCCAGATAGAGGAAGCAACGGGAGTATCACTCCCTTCTGCTATCCTCTCCCCAGTACCTTTTAGTTTGGTTTTGGCCAATATTAAAAGCAATTGCATTCCCTGAGGGTGTGGGGAGGAATGAAGGCAAGATGGAGGGATGAGGGACCAGGAAGAACATAAGGACAGAGGAGCTGAAAAGAAACAAGAGGCGGCAGGATGAAATGAGGACCTCACAGAAACAAGCCCAGTGACATATGGATACCAGACTCTGGATCATCTGTGGCAAAGGCTGAATCCTTGGATAAAGACTCTGGATATATGAGAGTTAAAAGATAAAGTGGGGGGTGGCGGCAGGTGGGGGAAGGTTGATGAGTTTTTTTTAATGGTGATTTTAGACTTCAGGTGACCTCTTTGTAGCCACCCTGGTAGAGCCTTAATAGCCCTTCTCCAAAGATGCATCCACAAAAGAGAAAGGTAATTGAACCTGATAAGTCAAGTAACAGTCTCCACTGAT